GACTATTCTGAACACTCTTGTCGGACTATTCTGAACACTCTTGTCTGACTATTCTGAACACTCTTGTCGGCTATTCTGAACACTCTTGTCGGGCTGTTCTGAACACTCTTGTCTGACTATTCTGAACACTCTTGTCGGCTGTTCTGAACACTCTTGTCGGCTGTTCTGAACACTCTTGTCGGGCTATTCTGAACACTCTTGTCGGACTATTCTGAACACTCTTGTCGGCTGTTCTGAACACTCTTGTCGGCTGTTCTGAACACTCTTGTCGGCTGTTCTGAACACTCTTGTCTGACTGTTCTGAACACTCTTGTCTGACTATTCTGAACACTCTTGTCGGGCTATTCTGAACGCTCTTGTCGGGCTATTCTGAACACTCTTGTCGGGCTGTTCTGAACACTCTTGTCGGCTGTTCTGAACACTCTTGTCTGACTGTTCTGAACACTCTTGTCTGACTATTCTGAACACTCTTGTCTGACTATTCTGAACACTCTTGTCGGGCTATTCTGAACACTCTTGTCGGGCTGTTCTGAACACTCTTGTCGGGCTATTCTGAACACTCTTGTCGGGCTATTCTGAACGCTCTTGTCGGCTGTTCTGAACACTCTTGTCGGCTGTTCTGAACACTCTTGTCGGACTATTCTGAACACTCTTGTCGGACTATTCTGAACACTCTTGTCGGGCTATTCTGAACGCTCTTGTCTGACTATTCTGAACACTCTTGTCGGCTGTTCTGAACACTCTTGTCGGGCTATTCTGAACGCTCTTGTCTGACTATTCTGAACACTCTTGTCGGGCTATTCTGAACACTCTTGTCGGACTATTCTGAACACTCTTGTCGGCTGTTCTGAACGCTCTTGTCGGCTGTTCTGAACACTCTTGTCGGACTATTCTGAACACTCTTATCGGACTATTCTGAACACTCTTGTCGGACTATTCTGAACACTCTTGTCGGCTGTTCTGAACACTCTTGTCGGCTATTCTGAACACTCTTGTCGGCTGTTCTGAACACTCTTGTCGGACTATTCTGAACACTCTTGTCGGGCTATTCTGAACACTCTTGTCTGACTATTCTGAACACTCTTGTCGGGCTATTCTGAACACTCTTGTCGGGCTATTCTGAACACTCTTGTCGGCTGTTCTGAACGCTCTTGTCGGGCTCTTCTGAACGCTCTTGTCGGTCTGTTCTGAACACTCTTGTGGGGCTATTCTGAACACTCTTATCGGGCTATTTTGAACGCTCTTGTCGGGCTATCCTGAACACTCTTGTCAGGCTGTTCTTAACGCTCTTGTCAGTCTGTTCTAATCAATAGTTGGTGAGCTTTAAGAATTTTGTTGTGGCTGCAGTATCATTGATTCCCTGTGATACCTTTTGAGTTCTACATGTTCAATAAGTTACAAAACTCTGTTCCAGTATTTTCAACAAGCATGGCGGTACTGTTCCAGTATTTCACAAGGCGTCCAGATTAAAAGGAATAAATGCACATATGCTTTCAATTTCAGGAAGTATTTTTCCGAAAAATGAATAGATATCAATATAATGAAAACAAACGAACACACTGTTTATAGTGGAATACTATTATCTTAATATTCCAACATGTTTTCACTCAATGAATAGTGGGTTTGTAATCATTTCACACAAATTCCACATTCCATGCTCTTTTAACATTGTTTAACGGTGTTACTTTGCATTAGGAGTGAAAACGTTTCCTTTCACAAATTTTGTATACATCAACTAGAGTATTTGAGCTTATATTTCTTAACTGGCCATGTCAGGCGAAGTACGCAATTTAGTCCCATTATTATATACTGAACCGCAAAAGAAACCATGGATAGATATATGAGAAACCTTATTTGTCCAAACACTGTAAACATACTTTGAGACATATTAAAAAGATGAAACCTGGCAAAACTGATCATCAAGGTTGAAATTAAAGTGTCAAATGTTCTTAAAGTGGAACACAACTCTAGTCTCTGAGAAAATGGCATCACAAGTCAGTATCTCGTGTGTCCACCATGTGCATTGATGACTGCCGTGCAACGTTGATACATGGAATGGATGAGGAGGTTGATGAAGGCCATAGGCACTTGAGCCCACACTCTGAGGAACGACTGACGCAATTCAGCTGCAGTTGTCGGCCTTGGTCGGACGTCATTCAGCCTTCTTTGAATCTCGTCCCACAGGTGCTCAATTGGATTTAAATCGGGACTGAGGGCAGGCCACTGCATGGTTCTGATGCCATTTTGCTGGAGGAAGTCTCTTGTTGCCCCCACAGTGTGGGCACCGGTGTTATAATGCTGAAACTCGTGGTTGTGGCGACGTGCCAAATGAGGTATGGTGTGTGGTCTCAAGACATGATCAATGTACCGAGCTGCTGTGACACATTTGCCTCTCCCTGGACCGATGTTCCGGAAGACCACAGGGCCGACCCTCTGTGCAAGACCAATTCCACCCCACACCATGATGCTGGGACCACCCCACGAGTCTCTCTCAACAACACAAGCATCCGAATAACGTTCCCCTCTGCACCACCAGACTCTCTCTCTGACATCTGCTGTTGAGAGACAGTAAAGGCTCTCGTCTGAGATGCCAATGCTGATGCTGTGTTGCCCACTGAAGACGGTCACGGCGATGACATGGTGTCAGAATGGGTCTTCGGTGTGACCTGTGACAGTGGAGGTGTCTGCTCGTCAATCGTCGATGCACGGTGTCCGCCCTCATGTGTCACTGGTGTGTCCCCATGGTCTGTCGAGCAGTTTCCGCAGCTGTAACAAAGCGATCTTGAAGAAGCTGTCGCACAATCTGATGACCCTGACATTGGGTGGTGACCCTTGGTCTTCCACTTTGTGGTCAGTCATCTGTAGTGTTGGTGGTCTGGTACTGTTGCTGGAGCCTGTACATGGTCCTTACGTGGATTTGAAATGCATTGGCTACTTGCCTGGCGGTTTGTCCAGCTTGCAATCATCTAAGGGCTTGGTGTTGCTAATTTCTTGTCAATCTTGGCATGTGGTAGCAATTCAATAATGCATGAATGTTATCTGATCTGGGTGGATTTTTCTAGGGCAAGACATCGGGGAACGCATGTGCATTTCACTTTGCATGGAACTCACATGCATTGGCTGTTGCCGTGATGCATTTTGGTGATTGGTTATATTGTTTATCTGCTTTGTTTTTTTATCATCAAATTTCATTTTTGGTAATGTTAAATTTTAGAAACTTTGACAAAAATTACCCAGATATTTAAATTACAACTTTTCATGCAATGTTACTTGGGGTGACGTTTCTTTTGCGGTTCAGGATACTATCTGGTTATGAAAACATGTTCATTGTGTTTCTGGACTGTTTGTAATATATTATTTTATTTTATTTAAATTGTCATTCAATCTTGTTTACATTATTTTTGCAAAATCATGTGTGAAGTGATTGATAGATCACACACTCACAGTTATTTACAGCAACCATGGTCAGATTACCGCTATTGACGCCTTGAAACAATTGACGTCTGTAAATAATCGAGTCTGGACAAGACAATCCAGTGATTAATATCATGAGCATCGATCCATGCAATTGGGATCGATGACATGCATCAACCAAGTCAGCGAGCCTGACCACACGATCCCGTTAGTGGCCTCTTACGACAAGCATAGTCGCCTTTTACGGCAAACATGGGTTGCTGAAGACCTATTCTACCCCAGATCTTCACGGGTCTTCCAAGTTGTGATTTGCCTGGACTAACAGGTTTATGCATGGTCCAATCAAAATCATGTAATGAAATCGATATCCACTTTGTAAACAACATGGCAACTGCTAAAATGGCCAGTACCTTATATAGCTGTTTCCTGATTTCACTATGAAGCATGAACGGATGGCCTGTCAGTAATTTTGTTTGTAAATTGGCACAGTGATATTTGTTGATGAAATGATACTGTTTTCAGGTTTTTATTTAGCTGATATCATTTTTATGTTGAAAGTTTTGGTTATTTGCAATTATAATGTCCAAAAGAGTGCAATTTTTGGCCTATGTTTAACAAAAATGGCCCATAAATTTTGTAATCATGGAGCAAAAGGCCCATGAAGAAAAATTTGTTCCCCCAAATTTTGAAATGGGCAACTGACAAGTTAAGTAACAATGACAGACAGAACATATCTAGGAGCGCTATGCTCCTCCATGTCGGCCATGTCAAGTTTGTAATTACAGTAGTTTGTACAATTAGACTGCCCCAGTGGTCCAGTGGATAGAGTGTGTGCCAAAAGAGCAGACGGTTGGTGGTTCGATTCCTGACTTTGTCATATCAAAAGAAGTCAATCACTGCGGCGTTAAAAAAAAAAAAAAAAAAAAAAAAATCGTATCAAAAGACACAGTTCTCAACATTTAGGGGATTCAGAAAAAGGACTGTTTGGCTCCAGTCAGTATTCTGTATCTGAGTAGGGTATCCATGTTAATCTGTGGCATGGTATCTCAGTTGGCTAGCACTATCTAAGCTCACCACCCACCTACCCATGGATCGGGTGGTCAGGCTCACTGACTTGGTAATGCATGTCATTGATCTTAATTGCGTGGATCAATGCTCATGATGTCAATCAGTGGACTGTCTGGTCCAGACTTGATTAGATCCAGGCTGTTGTCATATAGTTTGAATATTGTTGAGTGTGGCGTTATACAACAAACAAAACAAAACACACAGACACACACAGACACAGACACACACAGACACACACACACACACACACACACACACACACACACACACACACACACACACACACACACACACACACACACACACACACACACACACACACACACACACACACACACAGAGTTGACCAGTTGACAAGAATTAACTTTGCAAGTGTAAAACTTAATATTGCTGTCTCATACTGACAGACAAGTTCCAGTTTGCAAACTGAGACACTTGAAGACTGACCCGGACTGATTTGCTGTCTGGATTAGCAAGGATTAGATAACCAGTAGAGAGGGTTATCATCACATGACCTTGAGCACCTCTGTGTGTGTGCAGCGGGTATATTGTTGCCAATGCATGTTTGAGTTACATTGAGTTACCGATGTGACCCACCTGAGGGATCCAGGACGTCTGGGCTCACAGCTGGCTTCATCTGAAGATCTCTGCAGCTGATATTGGATGGCTAGGTGTTCTTCAGTGCCAGAATAAGATCATTGTCGATATTCACGGGTTTGTACATACTACATTCTCCATCATACATGCATAGGTCTCCAGAGCCTTGGGGCTTATAACCACAATGTCAGGCAGTGGTCGGGTTCCCACAGTGTTCATGCATGGAAGAGGTGAGGTGAAATGGGGTTTAACGTCACGTTCAAAATTATTGTACTTTCATGTAGTGACGTGCATGTGTAAGTGTGAATATTATGCTACCCTATTTTTTATCCCAGGGATGAAATTCTCTAGGGTCATGATGATTCTCCTTAGTGAATTTGAACCCATACCAGTTTGTTTAATACTATCCTGTACTATACTTTAGAGTAAAACTTTCCCCGGGATAATATTTAGGTAGAATATAATCCTTGCTTACACATGCTTTTGTGTGTGTGTGTGTGTGTGTGTGTGTGTGTGTGTGTGTGTGTGTCTGTCTGTCTGTCTGTCTGTCTGTGTGTCTGTCTGTCCGTGGCTGCTTGTACTAGTCTGGACAAAGGCTGGTTTATAGTGGTAGCCTACTGAGACAAAGTAAACTGACTCCGAGTGCCAGGCAGGGTAAAAACAAGTACCATCTTTTTACGTTTTGGGGTAAGAATCTGCCCGGGGACCGAACTCTGGGCAGATGATCTATCCACTGGACCATGGAAGAGGTCACACAGAGTAGGGTCCATTTGATGTCCATGGGTTTTAACAGACTAAAGTCATTAGTACACATTTCACTACTGGACCACAATGCCATGCATTGGTCCTCATTGTACCTGCTTATTACAGGAAGTGAATTTATTATAAGTCAACTGGTTGGCCACAGTGGTTGCTGTTCTGAGTGTTGAATGTGCTTGTTGACCATGAGATAGCTGCTATTATAGAAAGAGTTTTACTAAATGCTAAATATTATGTCCTTTACACATACATATACTGTATTTGAAATGAGTGATGACTGTTTAAATCATTTAAGTTTTCGAAATTGCATGTAACATAACACACATTTCTATTCTTGTTCATCTTCCTGAGACAACGGAGTTATCTGACTCTAAAAGTCCAGTTTCCACCCATGCCGAAGGAGGCTGGAATTTCTAGGCTCATCTGTGGGATGACTTAATGCCTTGCTACATACTCCCCCGTCAACAGAAGGCACGTCCCAGGCCACATAGTAGGCTACTGAGACTTATTTTGCTCAAATTTAATATGAATGTGCTCAGCCCCACGTTGGGTGCCAATGTAGCGGCCATAAAATTTCCGAGTCCCGTGATGGGATTCAAACCATGGACCTTCTGATCAGAGGTCGGACGCCTTGTCCACATGACCAAAGAGGTTAACCCCGTCAGCAAGCTGACAAGGTAAGAATGTCATCTGTGGGATGACTCCACGCCCTGCTACACATATGAGAAAACAACAGACATTTCAGCATTTCTTTTCTGTTTTTCTGTCATTTACTGCTTGCGCATTCTGTTCCTTAACTCAACAGTATTAGTGTAGAGTATACACTGTTTTAATTGGTCAGTATGGTAGTTTGCATTTGGTGGAACAAAATAAATTGGACTTTATGATTTTGGTTTTTCTAAAGTCTTTTTGGATGGCAATCTATGAATCAAATATTTAAAAATGTATACCATATTTGACGTAATAAGCGCCCAGGGCGCTCTCAAAATTAGAAATAGGGGTCTGTTATTAGAACATTATTTTGGTGGAAAAAAACAGAGTTGAAAGATAAATTTCGTGGTTTATGCTGACAGCCTGAAGTACGACAGATATATTTTTCAAGAATTTAATTGCCCATAATTAAAGGTGCATATAACACATGAGTGCGTATTAAACGCGCATAAATAAGTTTTGTGTACATTGATCAATCGGAAGGGTTCTAATTGGATTTGTTCACTAACAAATATTAGAAAATATCGCAGTGGGTGCTTATCAGAGCGGGGCGCTTATTACGTCGAACACGGTAGCCTGATTTAGAAAGGCAAAGTTGGTGTCCTAAGGTTAAAATCTCTGTTGTGAATACTCCAGGACCTCAGGACTTCTTCACTTATTACAACAGTGTTGACATAGGTTAAATATTGCTGACTAAGGTTTTTTTTACTGAAGCATGTTATCTGTGACAGACAGTAGGTTGCAATGACTAGGTCATGAACAAGTAGAGGAAGGTTTTCAAGGTAAGCCAAGGATGAGTCCAGATTAACTACCTGGGTACCCGACACCCTATTACCTGGCCCTACCCAGGTACCCGCTCTAGGTCTCAAGATGTCAGATTGGGACTTGTTTTCCTGCAGCCCTGGTAAAACTATTTAGATGCATGTATAAAATGATCTGATCATGCTTACACTTAAGTTGACTGAAGCTTTATCTTTTAAAAGTCATAGGAATGTGGGCATAGTTCCAAACAAATTTAACATTTAACAGTATATCCTGTGTAACCATGGGTATGGGTAGCTATGTGGGTACCCAGGTCCTACTCAGTACCCACCTGACCTGAGTACCTGAGTTACCCATCCCAGCCCTAGATCAAGGACTCTATGAAAAGACACTTAATTAATACAATATTTTTTATTGGATCTTTAATTGTTTTTTGTAGGTTTACAAAACTGACTGACAAAAACAACATGAAATTAGAAAAATGAAATAAAATGACCTCTGACAATTATCTTTTTGGCTGAATCTGTTTTGCAATTAGATGAAATGAAAAAACGAACAAGATTGTATCACAGCTGTTTGTAAGAAATGGTAAATTTCGACAAAAGAAACAAATCAAATGTCTTTCAGTATCATTTCTCAGTCATGCCTCTGTGATGCTCTGTCAAACAAGATTGTTTTTCATTCATTAGCTGCAGTATTGATCTGGAACAGGCATTTCATTTTTTTATTTTTGACCACCTACATTGAATTGTAGGCTATAATTTTTGTAAACAAACTAATAAAAAATAAATGGCCTAAAGGGAACTATTTCAATAGTGGTAAGACTATTGTATCGTGAAAGTATGATGTGAACCTAGACCTTTTTACACCCTGTTGGGAATATTGCTGAGTCATCATTAAGAAGCAGACAAACTGCTGGATTTTTTTCATCATGTTGATGTCAAATCAAAGACACCATTGTCACTCACTAGTTGGTCTGGACCAGACTGACTGACATGTTCCTTGTGAAATGTTTGACTGCCATGTTCCTTGTGAAATGTTCCAGACTGTCACTAGTGTTCCTTGTGAAATGTTCCTGACTCCCATGTTCCTTGTGAAATGTTCTTGACTGACATGTTCCTTGTGAAATGTTCCAGACTGTCACTAGTGTTCCTTGTGAAATGTTCCTGACTCCCATGTTCCTTGTGAAATGTTCTTGACTGACATGTTCCTTGTGAAATTTTCCAGACTGTCACTAGTGTTCCTTGTGAAATGTTCCTGACTCCCATGTTCCTTGTGAAATGTTCTTGACTGACATGTTCCTTGTGAAATGTTCCTGCCTGCCATGTTCCTTGTGAAATGTTCCTGCCTGACATGTTCCTTGTGAAATATCCCTGACTGACATGTTCCTTGTGAAATGTTCCGGTCTGACATGTTCCTTGTGAAATGTTCCAGACTGACATGTTCCTTGTGAAATGTTCCAGACTGACATGTTCCTAGTGAAATATTCCAGTCTGACATGTTGCTTGTGAAATGTTCCGGCCTGACATGTTCCTTGTGAAATGTTCCAGACTGACATGTTCCTTGTGAAATGTTCCAGACTGACATGTTCCTTGTGTAATATCCCTGACTGACATGTTCCTTGTGAAATGTTCCAGACTGACATGTTCCTTGTGAAATGTTCCAGACTGACATGTTCCTTGTGAAATGTTCCAACCTGATATGTTCCTTGTGAAATGTTCCTGCCTGACATGTTCCTTGTGAAATATTCTTGGCTGACATGTTCCTTGTGAAATGTTCTTGACTGCCATGTTCCTTGTGAAATGTTCCTGCCTGACATGTTCCTTGTGAAATATTCTTGGCTGACATGTTCCTTGTGATATATTCTTGACTGCCATGTTCCTTGTGAAATGTTCCAGACTGACATGATCCTTGTGAAATGTTCCAGACTGACATGTTCCTTGTGAAATGTTCCAGACTGACATATTCCTTGTGTAATATCCCTGACTGACATGTTCCTTGTGAAATGTTCCAGACTGACATGTTCCTTGTGAAATGTTCCTCTCTGACATGCTCCTTGTGAAATGTTCCAACCTGACATGTTCCTTGTGAAATGTTCCTGACTGACATGTTCCTTGTGAAATGTTCCAGACTGACATGTTCCTTGTGAAAAGTTCCTGTCTGACATGCTCCTTGTGAAATGTTCCAACCTGACATGTTCCTTGTGAAATGTTCCTGCCTGACATGTTCCTTGTGAAATATTCTTGGCTGACATGTTCCTTGTGAAATGTTCTTGACTGACATGTTCCTTGTGAAATGTTCCAGACTGACATGTTCCTTGTGAAATGTTCCAGACTGACATGTTCCTGCCTGACATGTTCCTTGTGAAATGTTCCAGACTGACATATTCCTTGTGTAATATCCCTGACTGACATGTTCCTTGTGAAATGTTCCAGACTGACATGTTCCTTGTGAAATGTTCCTGTCTGACATGCTCCTTGTGAAATGTTCCAACCTGACATGTTCCTTGTGAAATGTTCCTGACTGACATGTTCCTTGTGAAATGTTCCAGACTGACATGTTCCTTTTGAAAAGTTCCTGTCTGACATGCTCCTTGTGAAATGTTCCAACCTGACATGTTCCTTGTGAAATGTTCCTGCCTGACATGTTCCTTGTGAAATATTCTTGGCTGACATGTTCCTTGTGAAATGTTCCAGACTGACATGTTCCTTGTGAAATGTTCCAGACTGACATGTTCCTTGTGAAATGTTCCTGCCTGACATGTTCCTTGTGAAATATTCTTGGCTGACATGTTCCTTGTGAAATGTTCTTGACTGCCATGTTCCTTGTGAAATGTTCCTGAGTGACATGTTCCTTGTGAAATGTTCCAGACTGACATGTTCCTTGTGAAATGTTCCAGACTGACATGTTCTTTGTGTAATATCCCTGACTGACATGTTCCTTGTGAAATGTTCCTGACTGACATGTTCCTTGTGAAATGTTCGAGACTGACATGTTCCTTGTGAAATGTTCCAGACTGACATGTTCCTTGTGAAATGTTCCTGACTGACATGTTCCTTGTGAAATATCCCTGACTGACATGTTCCTTGTGAAATGGTCCTGACTGACATGTACCTTGTGAAATGTTCAAGACTGCCATGTTCCTTGTGAAATGTTCCAGACTGAAATGTTCCTTGTGAAATGTTCCAGACTGACATGTTCCTTGTGAAATGTTCCAGACTGACATGTTCCTTGTGAAATGTTAACATGTTCCGTGGTGTTTATATCACTACTCAAGCAATTTGTTTTTGTGTTTGTTTCCATAATTTGAAAATGAATTGGCCATGCACACGAACGAACTACTGTTACCTGATTGGCCGATAAAAGAAAGGGCGGGGCTTGTTTTGCATTGCATTACACAGCATGCAGACCATTTTTTATGACTTAATACCTCCATAAATGCAAACAAATTGAAGCGAATTTCTGAACATGATGAATTGACACAAATTGCAAGATCCAAGCTGAATAAATAATGTGTCTCACAAATTTGAGGTACATTCCTGAAAGGAGAATCAACTTAAAATAAAATTAACAAATAAATCAACAAATTACAAAAACATGGCAGTAAAATTATCAAAATTCTGCAGCTAAAATTGCAAAGTTCTGTGGTAAAAACATAACCATTTCCCCCTCAAACATATATACAAACTGGTTTTATTTCTTTAAAAGATTTTAACCTCTTGCATTTACACGTTTCAGGTTTGACATCTCAATCAGCTGATAATACTGATAATAATCAGCTGATAATACCCCAACAACATTTCAAAGTGAGATTTATTTATTTCAAATTTTGTTTTATTGTAAGATTCATATTTAGTTTGTTTGAATGACATGTTATATGTTTGAGATCATTTGTGTGCAAAATTCAATAGATAAGCTTGAAAATAAATAAAATTAGTGTATTGATTGATAAAAAGAGGCAAATGCAATAAGTCACATGTTCTGCAAATATTTCCGCGGAATTGCAGAACTCATGGACTGTGGAGTACAAAAACTGCCTATTCAGGTTTAGTTGTTAGATATATGAAAATTGAAGTTACACATTCGCATGTCTGTCGCTGTGTTCCAGAATGGATCATGCAGTGTTCAAGCATCGGAGGACTACTCTGGAGAGAGCTGAGAAGTTCATATCTCCTACCTACTTCACTGATGTCAACTTGAGGGGAAAGTGAGTAGGGTGATTTATTTTCGCTTTCAGGTTTATGAATTAGGTGACCAGAACCAAAAGACACTGTCGGAAAAGTGAAATAGTCACATTTTTAAAAATTTGTTTTTATTTGCCTGACCATAATGTTTTTGATGGATTTGAAAAATAAGAAGATACAAATACAAAGATCTTATGATTGTAACTGTAGTCGTTTAAGATCATAATGGAATACTGTGATAGCCGTGATGGCAGCCATATTGAAAATGCAGGGATGGACTTGTATTTTGTTTTCATGATATAGAACAGACAATTTATCTGTTGTATTCAGACTAGATTATTTTATTTTATTTTATTTTTGTTTTCTGCTGAAGCAAACAAAGTTATAGGGGTGGTGGGGTAGCCAAGTGATTAAGGCGTTCCCTCATCACGCTGAAGACCCGGGGCCGATTCCCCACATGGGTATAATGTGCGAAGCCCATTTCTAAAGTGCCCGCCATGCTATTGCTGGAATATTACTAAAACTGTCGTAAAACCATACTCACTCACACACTCACACAATGTAATGTAGATGACCTTGGTCTGTGATGACTACAAAGTACTGGGATGCTTGTCGTAAGAGGCGACTAACGGGATCTGGTGGTCAGGCTCGCTGACTTGGTTGATGCATGTCATCGTATCCCAATCACTGGATTGTCTGGTCCTGACTTGATTATTTACAGGCCGCTGTCATATAGCTGGAATATTGCAGAGTGTGGCGTTAAACAACAAACAAACAAAACAAAGTACTGGGTATGAGCAGATCGTTTGAAGATCATGAACAAAACAAAATATATAATTATTTCCTCCAATTCCAGACTCTACCCAAAGAAAACAGCACTGACAAAGATCCTCCATTATGCTACGGCTGAAAGGATTCCATATGAAAAGGCTGTTAAAGAAAAGTACATGCCAGCAAAAGTTGGAGAATCATTTGGACCAACGTAAGTTCAGGTTGTTTACAAAGCATGTCAAGAAATAACACCAACTGTATTCGCGTATTAAGTATCTTTACTGCTAGATCTAAATTTAACTTCCTTTATGGTTTCGATAAAGACTTCTGTGTGTCAATGTTCTGAACATCACTCTCTACTGTAAAGGGATAATGTACACATACACTGTATGTTGTGTGCAGATGGTCGACACACTGGTTCCGCCTGGAGATGGAGGCTCCGACAGAGTGGGAGGGGGAGGAAGTGAGGCTTGTGTGGAACTCCCACACCGAGGCTCTTGTGTGGGTGGATGGCAAACCAGTACAGGTGAGAATAGAGACTTGACTCCCACACCGAGGCTCTTGTGTGGATGGATGGCAAACCAGTACAGGTGAGAATAGAGACATGACTCCCACACCGAGGAGGCTCTTGTGTGGGTGGATGGCAAACCAGTACAGGTGAGAATAGAGACATGACTCCCACGCCGAGGAGGCTCTTGTGTGGGTGGATGGCAAACCAGTACAGGTGAGAATAGAGACTTGACTCCCACACCGAGGCTCTTGTGCGGGTGGATGGCAAACCAGTACAGGTAAGAATAGAGACATGACTCCCAGAATGAGGCTCTTGTGTGGGTGGATGGCAAACCAGTACAGGTGAGAATAGAGACTTGACTCCCACACCGAGGAGGCTCTTGTGTGGGTGGATGGCAAACCAGTACAGGTGAGAATAGAGACTTGACTCCCACACCGAGGCTCTTGTGTGGATGGATGGCAAACCAGTACAGGTGAGAATAGAGACTTGACTCCCACACTGAGGAGGCTCTTGTGTGGGTGGATGGCAAACCAGTACAGGTGAGAATAGAGACATGACTCCCACGCCGAGGAGGCTCTTGTGTGGGTGGATGGCAAACCAGTACAGGTGAGAATAGAGACATGACTCCCACGCCGAGGAGGCTCTTGTGTGGGTGGATGGCAAACCAGTACAGGTGAGAATAGAGACTTGACTCCCACACCGAGGCTCTTGTGCGGGTGGATGGCAAACCAGTACAGGTGAGAATAGAGACATGACTCCCACACCGAGGCTCTTGTGTGGGTGGATGGCAAACCAGTACAGGTGAGAATAGAGACTTGAATCCCACACTGAGGAGGCTCTTGTGTGGGTGGATGGCAAACCAGTACAGGTGAGAATAGAGACATGACTCTCACACCGAGAAGGCTCTTGTGTGGGTGGATGGCAAACCAGTACAGGTGAGAATAGAGACTTTACTCCCACACCGAGAAGGCTCTTGTGTGGGTGGATGGCAAACCAGTACAGGTGAGAATAGAGACTTGACTCCCACACCGAGGCTCTTGTGTGGGTGGATGGCACACCAGTACAGGTAAGAATAGAGACTTGACTCCCACACCGAGGCTCTTGTGTGGGTGGATGGCACACCAGTACAGGTGAGAATAGAGACTTGACTCCCACACCGAGGCTCTTGTGTGGGTGGATGGCACACCTGTACAGGTGAGAATAGAGACTTGACTCCCACACCGAGGCTCTTGTGTGGGTGGATGGCACACCTGTACAGGTGAGAATAGAGACTTGACTCCCACACCGAGGCTCTTGTGTGGGTGGATGGCAAACCTGTACAGGTGAGAATAGAGACATGACTCCCACACCGAGGCTCTTGTGTGGGTGGATGGCAAACCAGTACAGGTGAGAATAGAGACATGACTCCCACACCGAGGCTCTTGTGTGGGTGGATGGCAAACCAGTACAGGTGAGAATAGAGACTTGAATCCCACACTGAGGAGGCTCTTGTGTGGGTGGATGGCAAACCAGTACAGGTGAGAATAGAGACATGACTCTCACACCGAGAAGGCTCTTGTGTGGGTGGATGGCAAACCAGTACAGGTGAGAATAGAGACTTTACTCCCACACCGAGAAGGCTCTTGTGTGGGTGGATGGCAAACCAGTACAGGTGAGAATAGAGACTTGACTCCCACACCGAGGCTCTTGTGTGGGTGGATGGCACACCAGTACAGGTAAGAATAGAGACTTGACTCCCACACCGAGGCTCTTGTGTGGGTGGATGGCAAACCAGTACAGGTAAGAATAGAGACTTTACTCCCACACCGAGAAGGCTCTTGTGTGGGTGGATGGCAAACCAGTACAGGTGAGAATAGTGACTTGACTCCCACACCGAGGCTCTTGTGTGGGTGGATGGCAAACCAGTACAGGTGAGAATAGAGACTTGACTCCCACACCGAGGCTCTTGTGTGGGTGGATGGCACACCTGTACAGGTGAGAATAGAGACTTGACTCCTACACCGAGGCTCTTGTGTGGGTGGATGGCACACCTGTACAGGTGAGAATAGAGACTTGACTCCCACACCGAGGCTCTTGTGTGGGTGGATGGCAAACCTGTACAGGTGAGAATAGAGACATGACTCCCACACCGAGGCTCTTGTGTGGGTGGATGGCAAACCTGTACAGGTGAGAATAGAGACTTGAATCCCACACCGAGGCTCTTGTGTGGGTGGATGGCAAACCTGTACAGGTGAGAATAGAGACTTGACTCCCACACCGAGGCTCTTGTGTGGATGGATGGCAAACCAGTACAGGTGAGAATAGAGACTTGACTCCCACACCGAGGCTCTTGTGTGGGTGGATGGCAAACCTGTACAGGTGAAAATAGAGACATGACTCCCACACCGAGGCTCTTGTGTGGGTGGATGGCAAACCAGTACAGGTGAGAATAGAGACTTTACTCCCACACTGAGGAGGCTCTTGTGTGGGTGGATGGCAAACCAGTACAGGTGAGAATAGAGACTTGACTCCCACACAGAGGCTCTTCTCCCATGCTAAGTTTTGCAGAATTACACAGCGGACACTTCTTCTTAACTGATGAAAGAATACCGTATTTGACGTAATAAGCGCCCGGGGCGCTCTCAAAATTAGAAATAGGGGGCTCTTATTAGAATATTATTTTGGTGGAAAAAAAACAGAGTTGAAAGATAAAGTTCATGGTTTATGCTGATAGCCTGAAATGTTTATATACGACAGATATATTTTTCCAGAATTTAATTGCCCATAATTGAGGGTGCATATTACACACGAGTGCGTATTATACATGAATAAATAGCTCTCGTGGATTGGGATTGTTCACTTGCCAATACATTAGCAAATATCGCTGTGGGCGCTTATTAGAGCGGGGCGCTTATTACGTCGAATACGGTACAAACATTTCATGGCAGAACTTGACTTTGAAATAATTTGTTTTAATTTGAATTTGAAAGAAAGACCTTAAAGAAGCCTGTTAGGTCCTGTTTTGAGAGATGTGTTTTGTTTGTTTGTTTATTTGTTGTTTAACGCCGCACTCAGCAATATTCCAGCTATATGACGGCGGTCTGTAAATAATCGAGTCTGGACCAGACAAACTAGTGATTGTCGTCATACACATTGATCCACGCAATTGGGATCGATGACATGCATCAACCAAGTCAGAGAGTCTGACCACCCGATCCCGCTAGTCGCCTCTTTAGACAAGCGAGTCGTCTTTTACAGCAAGCATGGGTTGCTGAAGACGTATTCTACCCCAATATCTTCACGGGTTTTGAGAGATGTGAAATCCCAAATGATGATGACCGCCAATTTTGCCCTTTGAAACTCAGTTTTTCAGTTGTTGTTCGATTTGTTGTTAGATGAATGTAGGGTGTTTGGTAGGTGCATGTTAGACTTCCACTTGACATTATGATCCTCAAGTACCAAGTTGCCATGACAAGATGGTGATCATCCACAGGGCTTGAGTGGAGAGACAAACCGACATGACTACATCCTGACTCGGAAGATGAAGAAGAAACACAACAAGTGAGTGTTTCAGTTACGTTACAAGCATAATGATACGGAGATACAGACCGGTTAGTGAAGGTAGCATATGTCCAGGTAGTAGGGTTGGGACGAGTCAAAATCTCCTACCCGGGTACCCACCCCCCTATTACCCGACCCTACCTGGGTACCCGCTTTAGGTCTCACGAGACCGCCTCCGTGGTCTAGTGGTAGAGCGTCCACCTGGAGAGCGGAAGGTCCGGGTTTCGATCCCTGGCCGCGTCATACCAAAAGACGTTAAAATATGGTACTTGTTGTTACCCTGTCTGGCGCTCGGCATTAAGGGGCTAAAACAAGGACTGGTCGGCTCGGAGTCAGTATACTGTGTCTGAGTGGGGTATTCATGTTAAGCTGCGGCATGGTATCTCAGTGAGCTAGCACTATAAATCGGCATCAGTCCGGACTAGTACAAGCAGCTATATAAGTGCAATAATCTTGGACGCGACGTTAAACCCAATTTCACCTCACCTAGGTCTCACGACATAGGTACAAAATGTCCGATTGGGAATAGTTTGACCGTACTCATGTCAAAATGTATTTAGATACAGGTATAAAACGATCTGATCATGCACACACTGAAAATGACCGATTTTTTTTGTCTTAATGGAAACATATAAAGTCAGAAGGAATGTGTGCATTGTCAGAAAGACATTTGTCACTTATAGTGTAACCATTGAGTTCTAGATCATTTTTGCCATTAAGCAACAATCACTTGACTGACCACGGGTCCAGCTAGTCCTGTGGGTGCCCAGGTCCTACTCGATACCCACCCGACCCGAGTACCCATCCCAGCTCTACCAGGTAGCTCGTATATTTGTTCCTTTACTGGGGGGACTATTTGAAAATTAACAAAATAAAACTAATCTGTTACTAAAATGCTGGAAAAAATTGGCCTAAGGTTTTTTAAGTCACACGACTGTTCACTGTACATGTTGTATATTGTGAAAAGTTCTGTTTTGTGGGTCCTCGTTTTAAAAAAACCACATGTTTATTTGTAATATCTCTGACTGAAATAATAATTTGTCTCAAGCAAAACTTGGCCTTGCTGACTCACTTATTGTAAGTATTGGAACATTTTCTTAAGTGATCAGTTAATCAGTCTCTATGGCCACTATCTGTCTGTCTTTGTTACACATCCAGGAGAATGTCACATTTGACTTTACACAAACTGGTTATAACATGTATTGAAGGCTTCTGCTGTTTCTGATATATTTTTTTGTAGATATACAGTGTACGTCGAGATGGCCTGTAATGACATCCTGTGTGCATCCTGGGTGACGAGTGTGGTACCTACATCCCTCTGTTTTTCTACTATATTGTGTTGCAGGTACACAGTGTACATCGAGATGGCCTGTAATGGCATCCTGGGTGTTGGGTGCGGTGGTATGATCCAGCCAACTGACCCCAACAGGACCTTCACACTGTCCACAGCAGAGATCGCAGTGTTTGACCGCAAGGTCTATGACCTCCTACTGGACATTAAGATCCTTTATGAGATGGCTAAGGTAAAACGCCATTGTGGATACAGGACTTCATGTCTCTCTGATAAAATTAAATCAACACCAAAACACCCCCAGTAATCTGAAAACCACTAATTTTATATACCCCCAGTGCAAAGGGTTAGAACTAAACTCAAAAGCTTCAATTTCACTAGCTTGGCGAAGAGAAAAAATGCTCATGTAATGTTAAAACAATGGGGAAAAAAGGAAATTTGTTCCCGCCCACATGAATTTGAACCAGCTGGCTAGTGTTTATTTCTAACCCTGAATGGAAACATAACATCTTGACAAAATAATCTGCATTCACACAGAGGTGAAACATGTCTGTTGAAAAAAAAATAATGAGGTTGTGGTGGATTGGGAGTTTCTAGGGGCCAACCCTAATTTTCCTATCTAACCTAGGGTCCAACTAGGGTCTGGCAGGGGCATGGTGCATCTGACCTTATGCTGAGCACTTTGTCAGGCATCAGTTGTCTCCTTGTAGGCCTTATCTCGTATTAGGCCCCAAAATAATTGAAGTGGTTCCGATTACCGTATTTGATGTAATAGGCGCCTAGCTCTGATAAGCACCTATGTCGATATTTGCTAATATATTAGCTAGTGAACAATCCCAATTAGCACTCCTTGATCAATGTACACAAGACTTATATATTCGTGTGTAATATGCACTCGTGTGTTATATGCACCCTTAATTATGGGCAATTAAATTCTGGAAAAATATATTTGTCATATATCAACATTTCTGGGTGTCAGCATAAGCCACGAAATTTACAATCTTTCAACTCTGTTTTTTTTCCACCCAAATAAAATTCTAATAAGAGCCCCCTATTTCTAATTTTGAGACCTCCCTTGGCGCTTTTTACGTCGAATATGGTATGTTTTATTTTAAACAGTCTAGGTAACTAGTTTTGATTGTTTGTATTTTTAGATGTATTTTAGAAGTATTTTCAAGTGTGCTATTTGTTTTATCATGAACAGAAAAAAGTCAGGGTAGGTCGGGTAGTCGGAACCACAACACTTTTGAAAGCCTTGTGCACATCTTTGACAGCATATTCCTGACTGATTTCAAGATGGCAACCACAGCAGCCATCTTGAAAAATACAACTCATTCCCTCTTGAATCTGTGTTTTACCTGAAGGAGATCCCTGAGAAGAGGGAGCGTAGTTACCAGGCGCTGTACACCGTCAACAGCATCATCAACATGTGTGACACCGCCGACAGATCAACATACAAAAAGTAGGTTGCTTCATCGTTGTAAAGATCCCAAAAAATTATTTTTGTTAAAGATGTTTTCGTTAATTAAGGAAGGATGGACTTACAGAATACATCCTCAGTATTTATTCAATGTGATGCTATACTGTCTTTATCAAGCAAGTGACTTGGTTCCTGGATGAAAGTATGCCTACTAATATGACAGAGTTCCCGCTGGCTTTTGGATTGGCAACACTAAAAATTACCAGTCCCCTCCTCATTTTTGTCAGTCCCAACTTTCAACAATTAAAAAAACGTATAAAAAGTATCTGGTTTTAATTCATTTCACATGAGGTGAGGTGAGGTGAAATTGGGTTTAACGTCGCGTCTAAGATTATTGCACTTATATAGTGATGTGCATGCACGTGTTTGCGTGGCTGCTTTTACTAGTCGGGACTGATGCCAATTTATAGTGCTAGCTCACTGAGATACCATGCAGCAGTTTAACATGAATACCCCACTCAGACACAGTATACTGACTCCGAGCCGACCAGTCCTTGTTTTAGCCCCTTAATGCCGAGCGCCAGACAGGGTAACAACAAGTACCATATTTTAATGTCTATTGGTATGACGCGACCGGGGTTCGAACCCCGGACCTTCCGCTCTCCGGGCGGACGCTCTACCACAAGACCACGGAGGCGGCTCATTTCACATGAGATCATCTCTGAAGTAACTTAGTTAGATCTGCACATCACTGCAACGTCTAAGCAATGGTCATGTCAGAGTACTTGAGTCATGCTGAAGTGTGTGTTTAGATGCAGGGAGGTTGCCCAAGCGTTCTTGAAGCAGAGAAATGGAGAGAGCCAACATGTCATTCACGCAATGGGACATGCTCACATTGACTCCGGTGAGATGACAGTGTCAAATACCGTATTCGCCATAATAAGCCCCCTGCCCGAATAGGCATCCTGACCAACTTCTAGTCCAGACCGATCTGTTGGTACTTTTTATAAGCGCCCCCATATAAGACCGACAATTTACATGACTGTCCACATATTCTTGTTTACATTGCACATTTTTAACTCAATTCAGCAGTAGGGGTATATAACTGCCCAGTAACTGTTATAAAAAATGTTTCAGTTTCATCTAAAGTTGGTCTAACTTTGTTCCCAGTTGCCCAATGTCTATGGTTTTAACTAGCATCACCTTTGGTCAATTTTCTTTGTGCCAAGGGTGCTTATTACGGCGAATACTGTAATTATCTTTGTGGACACCTTTGGATATTCATGATAGACTAGCTGCAAGTGTGTAAAAACATATTATTGCTTAATCACATTCAAAGCATGTAGAGCAATTAAAAGAAATTAGTACTTGCCTGCCAATCCAAACATTAAGTATAATTCTGACTTGTGATGTGTTATTGTCAGGCCGCCAATTTTTTAGTAGTTGTTTCCAAAACCGAACGACATAAACAGATACTACCAAAAATATAAAACAACTTTGGAAAATTTAGGGGGCAGACCCTGTTTTGCAAGCAGGTATTGTTCCACAAATTTGTACTGCAAAGTGCTATGATTTATGGTTGTCGGAGGACATCAGGGGTATTTCGAAATGACAACATCCGATGAGCTTCCACCGTTCTTTTTGTCTGATTATTTAGGCTGAAGAAATTAATTAACATGCGCCCTTTTTCGAAATCTTCATACATCACGGATAACCAATCAGTGTTAAAAAATGCGTAAAACAGATATTGCCTCGAAGTTTATTTACGCTGTCCTTATAGACGGTAGCCCAGTCTCTTTTCACGCTCAGTTGCTTTAGCAAGCAAATCGACTCACGGCAGCTAGTGAGCCCTAGCGGCCAGTGTCAGACAGCCGAGAAGAAGCCAGAGATTAGTGCCCCTTTTACCTTCTTGCGCCGCACAGGCAGCGTGGTTTGGGTATTTCCCAGGAAGCTGAGAATGAAAATCGAGTGCACACTGATCCATTGAAGGGGAATAGTGGTATTGTGCAATGAACATTTACTTGGTACATGTAAATGGAATTAGGCGTGTTAGAAATGCACATATAATTATTCACAAACTGTCGTGGCTCCTGAAGCTTCACAAGTAGGAAGACCCCTTTCAACACACAGGCTGACGTTCCATCTCCTAGACTTTTGCTGCAAATATTTGTGAACCATCGACTAGCAATACTTACGGTCAATAGTTTGTTCTTAGAAGATGGAACATTTTTTTCATTCAATAGATAAAGTATTTGATAGAATGTTTACCATCTACATTTAATTTTGGATTAAAACTGTAAACCAGATAATAAAAAAAGTAAAAGGCCCTATAACTGCTTATCGTATATAATATCATTATCCATACTAGCAGATAAAAAACTGTATATTTTCTATGTAGAGGTTACTAATGTAGATTTGACACCTGTAAATTTCATCAACACAATAAATTTCAATGTTTATCAAGTAAGTTCATATATTTAAATTAGCTAATGGTCGGTTGTGTCAAAGAAGTGCTTTCAAATGTATATATTTTTATATTATATTTTCTGCTAATGTAGTCATCAGCCAAATAATGATGATAACATAGATTCAATATCACTGGCAGACCAATCAAAATACTGGATTCTGAACATCATATTGGTTCAGATGCCATTGCTGTACATTGTTTTGATCTAATGTTGTACATATGCATGACTTTTGGTGTGGATGGTGCCTCTCACTGTGTGTAGCTTGGTTGTGGCCGTATGCTGAGACTGTCAGGAAGTGCGCTCGCAGTTGGAGCTGCACGGTCAAGCTGATGGAGGAATATGATTGGTTCACATTTACATGTTCTCAGGTAGGGAAATAGTTCACACTTACATGTCTCAGGTAGGGAAATAGTTTACATTTACATGTTCTCAGGTAGGGAAATAGTTTACATTTACATGTTCTCGGGTAGGGAAATAGTTTACATTTACATGTTCTCAGGTAGGGAAATAGTTTACATTTACATGTTCTCGGGTAGGGAAATAGTTTACATTTACATGTTTTCAAGTAAGGAAATAGTTCACATTTACATGTTCTCAGGTAGGGAAATAGTTCACACTTACATGTCCTCAGGTAGGGAAATAGTTCACACTTACATGTTCTCAGGTAGGGAAATAGTTCACATTTACATGTTCTCAGATAGGGAAGAGTTCACATTTAGATGTTCTCAGGTAGGGAAATAGTTCACATTTACATGTTCTCAGGTAGGGAAATATTCACACTTACATGTCCTCAAGTAGGGAAATAGTTCACACTTACATGTTCTCAAGTAGGGAAACAGTTTACATTTACATGTTCTCAGGTAGGGAAGAGTTCACATTTAGATGTTCTCAGGTAGGGAAATAGTTCACATTTACATGTTCTCAGATAGGGAAGAGTTCACATTTAGATGTTCTCAGATAGGGAAGAGTTCACATTTACGGACAAGTTCTCAAGTAGGGAAATAGTTTACATTTAGATGTTCTCAGGTAGGGAAATAGTTTACATTTACATGTTCTCAGGTAGGGAAATAGTTTACATTTACATGTTCTCAGGTAGGGAAATAGTTCACACTTACATGTCCTCAGGTAGGGAAAAAGTTTACATTTACATGTTCTCAAGTAGGGAAATAGTTCACACTTACATGTCCTCAGGTAGGGAAATAGTTACATTTACATGTTTTCAAGTAAGGAAATAGTTCACATTTACATGTTCTCAGGTAGGGAAATAGTTCACACTTACATGTCCTCAGGTAGGGAAATAGTTCACATTTACATGTTCTCAGGTAGGGAAATAGTTCACACTTACATGTCCTCAGGTAGGGAAATAGTTCACATTTACATGTTCTCAGGTAGGGAAGAGTTCACATTTAGATGTTCTCAGGTAGGGAAATAGTTCACATTTACATGTTCTCAGGTAGGGAGATAGTTCACACTTACATGTCCTCAGGTAGGGAAATAGTTCACACTTACATGTTCTCAGGTAGGGAGATAGTTCACACTTACATGTCCTCAGGTAGGGAGATAGTTCACACTTACATGTTCTCAGGTAGGGAGATAGTTCACACTTACATGTTCTCAGGTAGGGAAATAGTTTACATTTACATGTTCTCAAGTAGGGAAATAGTTCACACTTACATGTTCTCAGGTAGGGAGATAGTTCACACTTACATGTTCTCAAGTAGGGAAATAGTTCACACTTACATGTTCTCAGGTAGGGAGATAGTTCACACTTACATGTTCTCAAGTAGGGAAACAGTTTACATTTACATGTTCTCAGGTAGGGAAGAGTTCACATTTAGATGTTCTCAGGTAGGGAAATAGTTCACATTTACATGTTCTCAGATAGGGAAATAGTTCACATTTACATGTTCTCAGGTAGGGAAGAGTTCACATTTACAAGTTTTCAAGTAGGGAAATAGTTCACATTTACATGTTCTCAGGTAGGGAAGAGTTAAAATTTACATGTTCTCAGGTAGGGAAATACTTCACAAATGGGACACAACCCAAAAAAGTACAAGAATTTGTATTTTACTAAGAAAGTGTTATCCCAAATATAACATTTGTTGAATATAGGGTTTTTTTCCAGGACATTTCAGTCTGTCCAACAATTAATTTATCTTTCAGCGGTAAAACCTGATGACAATTTTTTCTCTCCATGTTTTCTGGAACCAATTATTTTGGCCCACCCCCAGAATATCAAATGGGCAGCAGCTAATAAAACCTAATGTTAGTGTTATAGTCTTGTGGAAGTGTGTGTGGTATTTAAAGGCACATTCTGCCCTCCCGTGTGGCAGGCCCAGCAATTCCAGTGGGTGAAGGACCACTACCCCAGCCTGTACAGCAAGATACAACACTTCGTCAAGGCAGGCAGGTTCATACCCGTCGGAGGCTCCTGGGTAGAGATGGTGAGTAACTAGGGCTCACACAGCCTTGTAATGCCTTGAATTTAACAGTCCGGCTTTGAAATGGCCTAAAATTTATCATCCCAGCTTTGAAAATGCCTCGATGTGGCCTTGAATTGAACAATCCGGCCTTGAAAATGCCTAAAATGTGATAAAATGCCTTAAAATTGACTTGAATTTAGGAGTCTGTCCTTAAAATGGCCTTATATTTATCATCCCAACATTGAAAATGCCTTAAATTTGACAATTATGGTTAAGTTTGCTGTTCAATAAATATTTAATTTTCCTCCAATAATGCTAGATGATATCATTTGGCAAAAGATTAACCTGTAGCTTGGGCAATAAACAATATGGAAACACTGATATGGAGACATCAATATTTGTGTAACTATTTTGTTAATGAAAGAAAATAACATTAACTTAATAAATATGTTTTAGAAGCACTCTTTGGTTTTATTCTTTGCCTTGACGAGTGTGATCATTGCCAAAAAGCCTTAAAAAGGCCCTAAATATGTATTAAAAGACCTTTTAAAGGCCTTAAAATTTGGTTTTGTATGAACCCGTCCAAGTACAATTGCTCTTTCAGGATGGCCTTATTCCTAGTGGGGAGGCTTTTATTCGTCAGTTCCTCTACGGTCAGCGGTACTTCCAGAAGGAGTTCGGTGTCACCTGCTCAGAGGTGGGCGATGTCAATGACATTTTATGTCATGGAGATGAGACCATTTTTTTTCTATATGTGTATTAACAATAGATTTAGAATTACGAGGAAATGTAGAAATTTTGTCTAAAAGTAGATCCAATTCATTATTTTGTTCAGGCAGGCTGCCATGATACGGCTGACATATTGCTTCCAACAAACAATTCCCATTTCAGACTTACTGCCTCACAGAGTGAGTGAGTTGGGTTTAACACTGATTTGGGAGGCATGCCTAAAGTGATGCAGGTCTTAGACGTTTACCATTTTGGTGAAACCCACGAGCACGGGTATGGTGCTGACAAACCAAGAAACATAATCAGGGCGAACCGGGATTCGAACCCACAATCATAGGTTTCTGGTGTGCCCAAGGGACCCAACTCTGCCCCACGAATTGCAGCGTCTTAGACGACTGGGCCACCCGTGCCCCCGCCTCACAGAGAGCTTGTGTTTTATATAGTTGCTGACTGACACATACTAGTTGACTGGGACAGGTAACAAGGTTACTCGGGTTTGGTGGGTGCTGAGTAGGACCCGGGTACCCACAGTACGACCGAATGACAAATGACAAAAATTATCTGTAACTCCTTGGTTACACTACAAGTCACTAATGTTCGCATTTCTTTCTGACTATGTACGCATTCCTTCTGACTTTTATAAGTCTCAATAAAGATAAAGCTTCTGTGTATGCATGACCAGCTATTTTATACGTGTATCTAAATACATTTTCGCCGAGGCTGTGGTCAATCAATTCTCAATTGTACATTTTGTACCCATCTCTTTAGACCTACCCAGGTAAGGTAGGGTAATAGGGTGTTGGATACCCTGGTAGTAAATTTGGACTTGTCCCAGCCCTACATACAAGGGCCCACTTGCACAAAGCGATCTTAGCGCTAAGACTATTGTAGGCCTATGTTAAAGTATGGGAGTTATGATCATCTCAGCAATAAGATCCTTTTGTGCAAGTGGGTCCAGGACTAGTATCACGAAGTGATCACAGTGGAGCCTTGTATCCATACTGTCTTTCAGTTCTGGCTGCCGGACACATTTGGGTATGCAGCCCAGTTGCCGCAGCTGATCAAGATGTGTGGGATGACACGCTTCCTCACACAGAAACTAAGCTGGAATCTCGTCAACAAGTTCCCGGTCAGTATATAAGGATTAGTATTAGCCGCTTTGAACAATATTTCAGTTTTACGAGGGTTGATCAAAAAGTTCTAATCCTGACTAACTTCAAGATCAGCGAAGAAAGTATTGGCCACTGTATTCTGGGATGCAAAGGGTGTGGTCCTTGTTGATTACTTAGAAAGTCAAAAGACGATTATTGGTGCCTTTATCCTGATTTGCTTCATCGCCTGAGAGATTCTATCTAGTTGCAAGGAATGCTGACTACTGGAGTTCTACATTTTCATGGCAATGCCTCTTCTCACACCTCTCCACTTGCAAAGGCTGCTGTTCGGCAATGTGTGTTCAAAGAGCTTCCTCACCCTCTGTACTCACCAGCCTTGGCACTAAGTGATTTCCACCTGTTTCCTAAACTGAAAGAACAAATTCGTGGATACTGCTATGATGACAACGATGACCTCAAAGCTGCCATGAATATGTTTTTCAGGATCGCTTTGGAAACGTCTTCCTGACTGGAATTGAACAGCTTCACTATTGATATGAGATGTGTATTGAAAAGCAAGGAGAAAAACAAAATTAAAAACACTTTCACAATTGTTGACTTTGTTTCTTAGGCTTAGAACTTTTTGACCAGCCCTCATATCATCTTGATGTGGGAGGAAAACCAAAGTCATGCAGATCTTAGATGGTTAATCCTTTGGTGAAACCCACAAGCACAGACACAAACCCATACAACAGGGCCACCGGTGCCCCTGGATACAGACTGACTGATGAGTGTAGGAAATTACCGTATTCGACGTAATAAGTGCCCCGGTCTAATAAGCGCCCAAGGCGATATTTGCTAATACATTGGCAAGTGAACAATCCCAATTAGCACCCCTTCCGATTGATCAATGTACACAAGACTTATTTATTCTTGTATAATACGCACTCGTGTGTTATATGCACCCTTAATTATGGGCAATTAAATTCTGGAAAAATATATTTGTCGTATATAAACAGTCAGCATAAACCATGAAATTTATCTTTCAACACTGTTTTTCCACCAAAATAATATTCTAATAAGAGCCCCCTATTTCTAATTTTGAGAGCACCCTGGCCGCTTATTACGTCGAATACGGTATGTGGAAGTTCATTTCTTCGACTAGTGAGGTACAATATTCTTGTGTGTATAGTGCGCACTTGAATATAATGCGTACAATATTGAATGAAATTTTGAATATGATTAATAAAATAGATAACAAACATATGTGTAAAAAAATATTTTATAACCAGGCAATGTAATGACAGGACTGCCTTGTGTATTTCAGATTAGTTGGGGGCGGTCGGGTAGCCTAGTGGTTAAAGCTTTCACTCGTCACGCCGAAGACCCGGGTTCGATTCCCGACATGGGTACAATGTGTGAAGCCCATTTGTGGTGTCCCCGCCGTGATATTGCTGGAATATTACTAAAAGCGGCGTAAAACCATACTCAGTCAGTCAGTCAGTCAGATTAGTTGACAGCTATTTCCAGTGTTATGGCTCACAGTAATGTCTATAAAGTGCAAATGATAATCAGAACACATTGCATGTGTGTGTGTGTGTGTGTGATATGCACCACCCATTTAACAGACGTATTGTTTGCCAAAAAGTGTGCACTATACACAAGAAAAAATGCCATTGTCAGTAGCACTGGCTATCGATAATCGATAATTACTGAATAAGTATCGTTCAATTATCGATAAATATCGGAGAAGTAACTTTAAGCAAATATGCACGAACAGGGACACATTTATGCATAGATTACTTTGTGGCCATTTGTGATAGAACAAAAACAGAGTTTTTTTGTCTTTGGCAATTGACAATACTGACAATAACACCGTCTGTTTCGGTGAATCTAAACTTTATTTTATCACAAGGGTTTATGTACTGTATATGACCGCAGATAAGCCGACCCGTAGATAAGCTGAGATATTAACTTGACCATTGAAATATGAAAGAACATGATATGACCTGTAGATATGCCGAACCAGGAAGTGAAAGGCAACATCACACCGCGAAGTCGGACTGCAAGACTGTACTGGTATTTGCAGATATTCAATAATATAAGATGAAAAACGTTGTAATTATATTGAAAAAGTCATTATAATTTCTAATATTATCGATGATAATTTCATATTGATAATCGTTTATATTTTTCTTCCCATCGATGACAATTCCAATTATCAATCTTTTTAGCCAGCACTAATTGTCAGTGATGACAGAAGACTGTTGTTATAGATAATCCAGTATCGATTGTCTTAGTACCTTCTCGCACAAGCGACATGGTGGACCAAATGTCGCCCTTCCGAGAATAAGCCCTTCCTTTAAAACCTGGCCATGGACTGATTGCCATTTCAGCATCATACATTCCTCTGGGCAGGCATCGATGGCACCAGTGTTCTCACACACTTCCCACCAGGGGACAATTATGGTATGCAGGCTAACGTCAAGGAGGTAAGAGTTACCTCCCCTGTTCTTTAATGTTTACGTGACTTTCTTGTTTGTGCGTGTTGCAGAACCACACGTTCTGGTGGGAAGGCATCAACGGCACTCAAGTCCTGACTCACTTCCCACCTGGGGACACATATCATATGATGGTTAATGTGAAAGAGGTGAACAAAAGCTGTCCAGTATTGCTTATGGTGTCAGGGCTTGTTTGTATGCATAACCTGCCTTATAACTCATCCCAGTTCTCTAAATCACCTTCTTTCTCATGATATACCTCTTGCTGCTATCCTTACCCAATCCTCCCTCCCTCTCTCCCTCCCTACCCCCTTCTGTTTCTCTTGTATTTCATCTTTTGTGTCCATGGTCAGACCAAGTTAGGTTTGAAAAAATAAAAGAATTAGTTCTCAGGCAATGACTTTAAAAAAAAAAAAAATTAAAGTAAAAACAAAACGTGCGACAGACTTTATGATGATGCGGGCGGTGCCTGAGAACCAAGACCATTATTTTTTTAGCCTTAGTATTCTTTTTTTACAGATGAGTCTAACATAATTGTTTTGCAAAAGTAAAAATGTTGTGTTTTATTTGAAAAATGTGTTTTTGCTCAAATCAACCCTAAGCCTACATGCTAAAACAAGCTTTTGATATTTTGTTACTCTATTTGAATGAAGACAAGGTGGACCAAGATGTTCTGTGCAACAAAACTCAAATTGGTCCGGACTTATACATGTTATAGATATAAGTGAATTTTTTTTATGAATTATATTGAAAAATGAAAATATGTAAGTTATATGAGGTAAAATATTTGTGTGATCATACTGGTTTAAAAAGTGCAGTTTAAAATAATGCTAAAAAACAATAGTTAAGGTTTAGAAGCCATACTTCATAATAAAAGAAAAGAAAAATTTTACTCATTTTCCAAACCCTTAGAAAACAGAATTTACAATTTACATATATGTGTGCATCATTAGTATTATCATGGTTATTATACAACTATATTAAAACCTCACTATTAAGAAGGGATGAGATGGGACTGTTCAAGGGAGACAATCAGTGATGATGATTATTCAACAGTTCCACATCATAAATATCATCTACATGTATTAGAAAATAATAATTGTATTTTGCCACAATTTGCAGCGGTAGAAACTAACATCATTAGTCCACTGGACCTTATAATGATAACATATAGCAAACCCTTAAAAATGGCAAATATCTACTTATCCTTATGTTACCTTAACTACGGGGCAGTTTTACAAGGACTACAGGACTAGTGCCAATTACTAACGCTGCTTCGGCAAGCATGATACATACCGTATTCGACGTAATAAGCGCCTCGCTCTAATAAGCGCCCACGATGACATTTGCTGATATATTGGCTGGTGAACAATCCATATTAGCACCCCTTCCGATTGATCAATGTACACAAGACTAATTTATTCGCGTATGATACGCACTCGTGTGCTATATACACCCTTAATTATGGGCAAAAAAATTCTGGAAAATTATATCTGTCGTATGTAAACATTTCAGGCTGTCAGCATAACCATGAAATTTATCTTTCAACTCTGTTTTTTGTACCAAAATAATATTCTAATAAGAGCCCCCTATTTCTAATTTTGAGAGCACCCTGGGCGCTTATTACGTCGAATACGGTAGTTTTATATCCAATATATGACAAATAATGGCGTCGGCGGTGTTGTGTGTTGCAAGCTCCTGTACACAGTGGACAACTTCCAGGACAAGGGCCGGTCTGGACGCACATGCTACCTGTTTGGCTACGGAGACGGAGGGCATGGTCCAACGTTAGTCACCTCATCAGTTGCCTCTTTATCATCTGTTCATTTTGTGATGACTCTGTTGTTACAGAGTAATCTCATGATACTGGGACCAAAGTTCTTTTTCATTTACCGATTTTACAGATTTACTGATGGTTTACAGATTTTTGCTATCAAATAAGCTCGGGTATGTAGAGAAAAAAACAAATTGTCTTGTGAAAGGTTTCCTCAGGGGTGTAAGGCATTGCAATTTGGTGTACACAGTTATGTTCCTTTCTTGTGGCAGGATCTGCTGGGTTTGAAACCTGTAGGCTATTCAACCACATAAATGTTCTTGGTCTGTCAACACCATCTCCATGCCCTGATAAGTGGTAAACAATTATAAGCTGTATCACTTGAACCTACCTCTTTTGTTCTTGGTGTACATGGTTATGTTCCTTTCTTGTGGCAGGATCTGCTGATCGAGGGTTTGAAGCCCATATTCAACCTCATAAATGTCCATGCCTGACAAGTGGTAATCAATTACAACAGTATCACTTGAACCTTAGTAACCTCCATTATTCTTGGTGTACATGGTTATGTTCCTTTCTTGTGGCAGGATCTGCTGATCGAGGGTTTGAAGCCCATATTCAACCATACAGATGTCTATGCCTGACAAGTGGTAAACAATTACAACCTGTGTCACTTTGGAATTCTTTCCAATCTGACATCGGCGACAGTACTGAAATATGCTGTTAAGCAACCTACCTCACTCGTTTTTAGTATTTTTTTGTTCATCAATTTCACTTTTTTGTTTTTCCATGTCAGAGAGGAGATGCTTGAGAAGCTGCAGAGGGTGAAGGATGTTGATGGGCTACCAAGGTATGTAGACATTTAATCACATTATCCATGTAGCTGCCACGTACAACCAGCACAAGTTCAGTCACTATTCTAACCTGGAATCCCAAAGAATCCCAAGGAAATAGGATTGATTGTTCAGCCATAATTATACTTTACTTTATGTTTTACATATGCAAATTTAAGCACAATATTTCATCGCTTGATCAAAACAGGACTTATATGCCACGGCTGATTAATATACATGTTAAATTTTATATGATAGTTTCTGGAATGTTTTTCAAGCGGAATGACCCCTACCTCCATTTAAAATTGGTTAGAAAAAAACTCATTGGTTTGGATGAGGACCTGATACTGATACTGATTATGCATAAGCCAACACAGGAAATGATGTAACCCACATAATCCCCACGTCTCACACCATAAAATAGTGATACCACGGTAATATAGAGTTGCCTCCCCTTGAGTCGCTAATGACAGGTACTTTGTTTACCGAACTCGTAAGAAAATCAGCTTTGATCAATCTAATTGGTGTATTGTTAAAGTTGAACAAAGAACAAGAAACAACGTATGAAATATTTAATAGTTTAGTGTTCACGATTACTATCCATTATGAATTAACTACCGCAATAATAAAGCATACCATACTCAAAAAGCTGCTAAATTATTTATGATGGGTGAATGAATGGTGCAATATTCCATCTATATCACAGCCTGTAAATAACAGAATTTTTAAGTATGGGAGTTACAAATGTGGAAGGACAGTGTTAAAGTGAGTGAGCGAGTATGGTTTTACGCCTCTTTTAGCAATATTCCAGCAATATCACGGCGGGGGACACCAGAAATGGGCTTCACACATTGTACCCATGTCAGGAATCGAACCTGGGTCTTCGGCGTGACGAGTGAACGCTTTAACCACTAGGCTACCCGACCGCCCCTCAGTGTTAAAGAATACGAGTTACGAATGTCATTGATCATCTTGAAAGTAGGGGAGTAGATCAATGTAGATGTATCGGGGTAAAAATGTTGTCGGTCAATGTTAAGTATGATTAATTCGCAATAGACTGGGAATAAAGAAATATTTAATACCCAACGAAAACTATCAATACCCAAAATAACAGAAAAATGTCTTTAAATCTCCTCTGGGCCCCGTTCCTCAAAGTGATCCTAGCGCTAAGTTGATCGTAACTCCCATTCTTTAACACTGAGTTACGACAATCGTAGCGCTAAGATTGTTTTGAGGAACGGGGCCATGGATACCTGGACCCACTTGCACAAAGTGATCTTAGCGCTAAGATGATCGTAACTCCCATACTTTAACATTGGCTTACGATAGTCTTAGCACTAAGATCACTTTATGCAAGGGGGCCCTGGTTGTATCTGTTCCAGGGTAGAGATGAGTACACCGGACGACTTCTTCACGCTGGTAGAGAAGGAGAGTGGCCGGGACAAGCTGTGCACATGGAGGGGCGAGCTGTACCTGGAGATGCACAACGGCACCTACACAACACATGCTCAGGTCAGCGGAACAACCAACATGTTTCCCATTTATATCCCCTGCAACGAAGTGGAAGGGTGATATAGGATTGGGTGCTGTACATCAGTATTTCCATCCCTCCGTCCATCTGTCCATCACATCTAGTTTAGAACTCAAAAACCATGTTAGATATCTTAACCAAACTTGGCACATAGATAGGTCTGGTGGTGAACTGATAGTTTGCAATTTAAAAAAAATAATTTTTCGAGTTTCCATGGCAACGATTTCGCCTTTGACTGAAAATGGTGGTAGTGCTCCTTTCCGAAGCAGATCTTGAAAACAATACAATATTTCTTGCCTTGCACACAACCGGTCATGTCATATTGGTAGGGGATATGAGTCATGATTGTTCTCACTTGAAATTACAGATGGATTGAATAAAGTGAGTGAGTTGGGTTTAACACCACTTTTAACAGTATTCCAGTCATATCACGGTGCGTCAGCTTAATGTGGGAGGAAAGCCTGAAGTGATGCAGGTCTCAGACGTTTACCACTTCGGTGAAACCCACGAGCACGGGTATGGTGCTGACAAACCTAGAAACATAATCGGGGCGAACAGGGATTCGAACCCACAATCATAGGTTTCTGGCCTGCCCAAGGGACGCAACTCTGCACAGGGAATCCTGGCGCCTTAGACGACTGGGCCACCCATGCCCCCAATTGAATAAAGGCTCCAAGACACTTTAAAGTGCTGATAACAGAAATAGAGAAAATTATGTAACTAACATAATCTCAGTATTGGACATGTCGAAGGTGGTGATGTTTGTCTCTGCATCTTTAGGTGAAGAAGAGTAACCGCAAGTGTGAGTTCCTGCTCCATGATGTGGAACTGATGGGTACCATAGCAACCGTCCTGGCATCCGCCAGTGGGAAAGGCTACAAATACCCTAGTGTAGAATTGGAGAGAATCTGGAAGCTGTTTCTCCTCAACCAGTTCCACGATGTGCTGCCAGGCTCCTCCATTGAAATTGTAGGCACTTCTGGGCTATATATATATATTTATTGTGGGCACTTCATGGCTCTGTATTGTGGGCACTTCATGGCTATGTATTGTGGGCACTTCATGGCTATGTATTGTGGGCACTTCATGGCTATGTATTGTATACACTTCATGGCTATGTATTGTAGACACTTCATGGCTCTGTATTGTGGGCACTTCATGGCTATATATTGTGGACACTTCATGGCTATATATTTTGGGTACTTCATGGCTATGTATTGTGGACACTTCATGGCTCTGTATTGTAGGCACTTCATGGCTATATATTGTAGGTACTTCATGGCTATATACTGTAGGCACTTCATGGCTATATATTGTAGGTACTTCATGGCTATATATTGTGGGCACTTCATGGCTCTGTATTGTGGACACTTCATGGCTCTGTATTGTAGACACTTCATGGCTCTGTATTGTAGGCACTTCATGGCTCTGTATTGTAGACACTTCATGGCTCTGTATTGTAGGCACTTCATGGCTATATATTGTAGGTACTTCATGGCTCTGTATTGTGGACACTTCATGGCTCTGTATTGTAGGCACTTCATGGCTATATATTGTGGACACTTCATGGCTATATATTGTAGGTACTTCATGGCTATGTATTGTGGACACTTCATGGCTCTGTATTGTAGGCACTTCATGGCTATATATTGTAGGTCCTTCATGGCTATATACTGTAGGCACTTCATGGCTATATATTGTAGGTACTTCATGGCTATGTATTGTAGACACTTCATGGCTATGTATTGTGGGCACTTCATGGCTCTGTATTGTAGACACTTCATGGCTCTGTATTGTGGGCACTTCATGGCTATATATTGTGGACACTTCATGGCTATATATTGTAGGTACTTCATGGCTATGTATTGTGGACACTTCATGGCTCTGTATTGTAGACACTTCATGGCTATATATTGTAGGTACTTCATGGCTATATACTGTAGGCACTTCATGGCTATATATTGTAGGTACTTCATGGCTATGTATTGTAGACACTTCATGGCTATGTATTGTTGGCACTTCATGGCTATTTATTGTGGGCACTTCATGGCTCTGTATTGTGGGCACTTCATGGCTATGTATTGTGGGCACTTCATGGCTATATATTGTGGACACTTCATGGCTATGTATTGTGGGTACTTCATGGCTATGTATTGTGGGCACTTCATGGCTCTGTATTGTAGGCACTTCATGGCTATATATTGTGGGCACTTCATGGCTATATATTGTAGGCACTTCATGGCTATATATTGTAGGCACTTCATGGCTATGTATTGTGGGCACTTCATGGCTATGTATTGTAGACACTTCATGGCTATATATTGTGGACACTTCATGGCTATGTATTGTGGGTACTTCATGGCTATATATTGTGGGCACTTCATGGCTCTGTATTGTGGGCACTTCATGGCTATATATTGTGGGCACTTCATGGCTATATATTGTAGGTACTTCATGGCTATGTATTGTGGGTACTTCATGGCTATATATTGTAGGTACTTCATGGCTATATATTGTGGACACTTCATGGCTATGTATTGTAGACACTTCATGGCTATGTATTGTAGACACTTCATGGCTATATATTGTGGGCACTTCATGGCTATGTATTGTGGACACTTCATGGCTATGTATTGTAGACACTTCATGGCTATATATTGTGGGCACTTCATGGCTATGTATTGTGGGTACTTCATGGCTATGTATTGTGGGCACTTCATGGCTCTGTATTGTAGACACTTCGTGGCTCTGTATTGTAGACACTTCATGGCTATATATTGTGGGCACTTCATGGCTATATATTGTAGACACTTCATGGCTATATATTGTGGGCACTTCATGGCTATGTATTGTGGACACTTCATGGCTATGTATTGTAGACACTTCATGGCTATATATTGTGGGCACTTCATGGCTATGTATTGTGGGTACTTCATGGCTATGTATTGTAGACACTTCATGGCTCTGTATTGTGGGCACTTCATGGCTATATATTGTAGGTACTTCATGGCTATAGATTGTAGGTACTTCATGGCTCTGTATTGTGGGCACTTCATGGCTATATATTGTGGGCACTTCATGGCTATGTATTGTGGGCACTTCATGGCTATGTATTGTAGACACTTCATGGCTATGTATTGTGGGCACTTCATGGCTATGTATTGTGGGCACTTAATGGCTATGTATTGTAGACACTTCATGGCTCTGTATTGTAGACACTTCATGGCTATATATTGTGGACACTTTATGGCTATGTATTGTAGACACTTCATGGCTATATATTGTAGGCACTTCATGGGTTATATACTGTAGACACTTCATGGCTATTTATTGTGGGCACTTCATGGCTCTGTATTGTGGGCACTTCATGGCTATATATTGTGGACACTTTATGGCTATGTATTGTAGACACTTCATGGCTATATATTGTAGGCACTTCATGGGTTATATACTGTAGACACTTCATGGCTATTTATTGTGGGCACTTCATGGCTCTGTATTGTGGGCACTTCATGGCTATGTATTGTGGGCACTTCATGGCTCTGTATTGTAGACACTTCGTGGCTCTGTATTGTAGACACTTCATGGCTATATATTGTGGGCACTTCATGGCTATATATTGTAGACACTTCATGGCTATATATTGTGGGCACTTCATGGCTATGTATTGTGGACACTTCATGGCTATGTATTGTAGACACTTCATGGCTATATATTGTGGGCACTTCATGGCTATGTATTGTGGGTACTTCATGGCTATGTATTGTAGACACTTCATGGCTCTGTATTGTGGGCACTTCATGGCTATATATTGTAGGTACTTCATGGCTATAGATTGTAGGTACTTCATGGCTCTGTATTGTGGGCACTTCATGGCTATATATTGTGGGCACTTCATGGCTATGTATTGTGGGTACTTCATGGCTATGTATTGTAGACACTTCATGGCTCTGTATTGTGGGCACTTCATGGCTATATATTGTAGGTACTTCATGGCTATAGATTGTAGGTACTTCATGGCTCTGTATTGTGGGCACTTCATGGCTATATATTGTGGGCACTTCATGGCTATGTATTGTGGGCACTTCATGGCTATGTATTGTAGACACTTCATGGCTATGTATTGTGGGCACTTCATGGCTATGTATTGTGGGCACTTAATGGCTATGTATTGTAGACACTTCATGGCTCTGTATTGTAGACACTTCATGGCTATATATTGTGGACACTTTATGGCTATGTATTGTAGACACTTCATGGCTATATATTGTAGGCACTTCATGGGTTATATACTGTAGACACTTCATGGCTATATATTGTCTGTACTTCATGGCTATATCTATCGTAGGTCTACACTTCATGGCTATATACTGTTGACACTGCATGGCTATATATTGTCTGTACTTCATGGCTATGGATATAAAATGACACTGATTACAAAATTCCATGATAATTTACAGACAGACACTGACAGTCTTCTGTTAACCTGATCTATATGTGTTCCAGGTGTATGACGATGCACACAGGTATTACAAAGGTGAGCTTTAGCTGTATATACTAGTTTTCCTTTCTGTAGGGACCTCCTCCGTGGTCTAGTGGTAGAGCATGTACCCGGAGAGCGGGGTTCAATCCCTGGCTGTTCCATATCAAAAGACGTTAAAAGATGGTACTTGTTGTTAGACCTATTCTACACCAGATCTTCATGGGTCTAATGTGTTCGATGAAGCATCCCAAGTTACAATAAGACTCTGTGTCTTCTGTCATACGTTCTCTCAGTGTGTTCCATGTTATCATTGGTTCTGTCACCTTGATGTTAATTTCCATTGTGATGTTCACAGATGTAGACACGTCTGGACGGAAGCTGCTGAGACAGGCAGTATCTGCCGTTGTCAGGCAGGAGGTATGTAGGAGGGAGTCGCTTCTCAGAGGAATATGTCATATAGCTTGCAGGGCTTGATTAAACCATATAAAACATGCACTAGTATTGAGAAATGCAACCTATTATTTATCTCTACATGTACCCAGTGCATGCCAAAAAGTTTACAAATTTGTGGCTGACTTTCTAAGAATATTCTTTTTACACAACATCAATCTTTGAACTCATTGTCAACCATACTACATCACTATTCCCAGTGTTGGGTAATTTGACATTGTCCTTTGGGCTTGACGCCATCAAATGAATCTTATCAGGTGAATCTTATGATGACAAGAAAACAAGAGAATGTATGGGATGTGATTCCATTTGAAGCGATTTTTACATCTACTGGAGAATACTGGAATCTTGAATCAATATGTGGACAATCCTTGAATCTGGAATCAATGTGGGCAATACTTGAATCTTGAATCAATATGTTAAGAATACTGGAATCTTGAATCAATGTGGGCAATACTTGAATCTTGTATCAATTTGTAGAGAATACTTTAATCTTGAATCAATGTGGGCAATACTTGAATCTTGTATCAATTTGTAGAGAATACTTTAATCTTGAATCAATGTGGGCAATACTTGAATCTTGTATCAATTTGTGGAGAATACTTTAATCTTGAATCAATGTGGGCAATACTTGAATCTTGTATCAATTTGTAGAGAATACTGGAATCTGGAATAAATATGTGGACAATCCTTGAATCTCGAATCAATGTGGGCAATACTTTAATCTTGAATCAATGTGGGCAATACTTGAATCTTGTATCAATTTGTGGAGAATACTTTAATCTTGAATCAATGTGGGCAATACTTGAATCTTGTATCAATTTGTGGAGAATACTTTAATCTTGAATCAATGTGGGCAATACTTGAATCTTGTATCAATTTGTAGAGAATACTGGAATCTGGAATAAATATGTGGACAATCCTTGAATCTCGAATCAATGTGGGCAATACTTGAATCTTGAATCAATGTGGGCAATACTTGAATCTTGTATCAATTTGTGGAGAATACTTTAATCTTGAATCAATGTGGGCAATACTTGAATCTTGTATCAATTTGTGGAGAATACTTTAATCTTGAATCAATGTGGGCAATACTTGAATCTTGTATCAATTTGTGGAGAATACTGGAATCTTGAATCAATATGTGGACAATCCTTGATTCTAGAATTAATATGGACAATACTTGAATATGGAATTAATGTGGACAATACTTGAATCATGTATCAATGTGTGGACAGTCCTTTGCATTAGAATGGGTTAAATTGGTTGTTTATGCTTAACATTTTGTCTGAAAATTAGATTTCTATGTGATGATAAATTTGTTACATGTGTCAAAAGCAGGATGTACAAGATATTTTGAGCTGAAAGTCTGTGCACCCACTTTGACCTCTCCTTCTACCAGTCTATATGCCACCTGGGAACATACTGACACATGGGACCCGTGACATGCCCCACCCTCTCTCTGTTGCAGCTGGACAAGGGTGAGGCGGTGGTGGTGAACACCCAGGCCTGGGAGCGGCAGGGTGTGGTCAGGGTGGCCGAGGCCACTGCAAGCCCTGCCAAGAAGAAGAAGTCCACTGGCACAGACACACAGCAGGTCGACAAGGAGGGCAACACATTAGGTAGAAGCATCCTTACGTTACAAATGTAGAGGAATACCTTTGGAAAATAGAAGTCACAGGTGGCGTAATGATCTGAGGCATAGACTCTCATTGTGTAGGATCAACTGTTGATGGTTCGAAATCCAAAATGACCTTGATGATGAACCTTGCTCTGTTAGCACAGATATAATAATAATGCGTTTATAAATAGAGCTCCAGATAAGCTGCGTATCTGCGTAAAATACGCATCAGAAATGCAGAAATATGCAGTAAAATAAAATCCAAGCGTATCAACGAACATTACAGATACGCTACAAAATTAAAACTTGTGCGTATCATCAAAATATTGTGAAGTAACACCGTGTATTCGATTAGCAAATCAGCAACTTATTTTGAAATTATAAACGGGCATTCCGTCAACCTTGCCAAACTCCAAGATGACAGTTACATCATGATCATTTGCCATCCCACTTTCTTGTGGAAGTATCGTGGTATTTTTGAGTCCTATAAAGCTCTCGAACCCCCATGACACCAGTTTGCAGGGACTAGATAAATAGTGTTTTTAAATATTTAATTTAAATACCCACATGTGTAAAAACTGGTGGGTAACAGAAATTTGAATACCCAGATAGAATTACTGATACCCAATGATTTTAAAATGCATGGGTAAAATACCCACAACACCAAAAGCTTATCTGGAGCTCTGTATAAAGAACCTGTTTGGATAACTGCTCATGACATTATAGAAAGCCAAGTAGACTAGGTGCAGTGCTGGTGATGGTAGGCCCAGTTGTGTGGTCAATGCATCCAACAGCAGTCCTCTTGCATGGGTTTTTATCAATGTGTTGTTATTTATGCTAGGTTGCATAACGAGCTGGTGAAATCCACTGGTCAACGTTGATGTCCAAAATTTGCCCTGTGATGACCTCTCGTTATCACCATCCCCAGCTTGTGGGTTCCATAAAAGTAGGAGACATATACAATCTGTGTCACTATAGGTTTCCTCTGACATTAGCCATATATGTATTGGTGTATTTATCCGATACACCTAAAACATTATGAGTATTAAGCTTCCTTATCCAAACACCCCACATCTTCTCAAGGCAAGGGTGTAGACTGACTATAAAAGTCCAGTTTCCACCCTTGCCAAATTAGGCTGGAATTCCGGATTTTCATTTTGGCTGGACTAACGAGTCTATGCATAGTCCTATCAAAATCACGTACGAAATAGACATCCAGTTTGTAAACAAAATGGATTTCAACATGCAGATTTCGGTTGACTAAAGGATCTGCAAAGCATGTGTACCACCAACCACAGGAACTCGATGATAGCGTGTATAGTATAAAATATTCGTATCGAAAAAAAATCACACCCCGCCATACATATAGACAAGGAGTGACATCCATCTTGGTCCTTATTCAAGATTTCGCACTCGGTTCGAATCACAGCTCGATATCGCATGAAATATGAATGTAACTTATTTGGAATTCAACCTATTGGCACTTGCTAAACATACCATAGGCTACACAATCGTGTTCATCGGTGGTCGCCTTACCTCATACTTATTTTAAAACAACCATCAAACCTCAGCTCTAAGCTTCGCTGCTGAGGTAAACAAGAAAAAGGTGGCCAGAATTTACGGTGCTACGCGGGCTTAAACTCAGCAAGAGGTAAGACCTGTTTATTACAATCTGGATCTTGATTATCAATCAGATCGTCTTGAATAGGCACCGCCATTATGTTTGAAGCAAATGCAAGTGATATGTGAGGTGGAATCTGATTGGGACACAGGAGGGACATAACTCGTAACAGCCACTTGTGACGCTATGATCAAGCCTGGTAATTCCAGCCTATTTCGGCAAAGGTGGAAACTAGACTTTCATAGTCAGTTAACGCCCTTGCCTCCGGAAGATGAGCCCCATGGTGAATCTAAGATGGATTTGATCCCCACAAAATATGCTTCTTGTAAGAGTTGACTGAAATGACTCAGTAACTTGCTTGATTGCATGTCATTGTACCAAGATGGTACTTTGCTTATGATATGGACCACTGGTTTGACTGACGACATTGCTTATAGGCCACTGTCATGAAGCTTAGAATATGTAATTATTGTTGACTGGTGTAAAACAAACCAAACGTATAAAAATTGTTTTTCTTTTCCAGCTCTTGTGAAGGCTGTGAGCTGTGGTGTGTCTCGTTTAGAGCGTGTCCCTGACTACAAACCTGTTACTGCATCGAAGAAGGTAAACAAGTTTTCGCGCTGTGCCATCTTCAAATATATCAAACATATCGAAAATCTTTATTCCAAACACTATTCACACAACCTCTTAGTTTTAATTCATATGATGAATACATGCCATCACAATGATGAGACTTTTAAAAACAAAATTGATTAATGGATTTCTTTGAAACAAAGTTGAAAAAAAAATATCGTGAAAAGCAAGTCCGACAAGACTTTATTAACTTACACCGTTCCGATGACGACTCATTCAGATAATATTTTGAATAACAATAACAAAAATAGTTTCACAAAATAATTAATAAACCAAAGTACAAAACAGTCTGGTTTTATTGATTTATGATCTTGTTTCATTAAGAAATACTAAGTTTTGTCATACACAGGGTAAGGTGATTACTATTTCTAACGGGCTCCTGACCGCTACAGTGGATAGCCATGGACGAGTTACATCTTTGATGGTACAAGATTCACAGAGGTAATTTTATGCATCTTTTATCCTCAAGTGATATGCACACAGGTGGCCCTCTTGTCTGAAGTGCCGCAATTTGCTGTGCAGAGTTGCATCCCTGAGATATGCCAGAAGCCAGATTCACAGTGATTATGTTCCTAGGTTTGTCAGTACCATACCTGTGCTCGTGGGTTTCACCAAAGTGGTAAACATCTGAGACCTGCATCACTTCGGTCTTTGCTCCACAATATGCCTGAAATACTGTTCAAAGTGGCTTTAAACCATACACAGTCACTCTTGAAGTACCAGAGGATGAGTGTGAGTATGATATGATCCCCGGCCCAACAAAGTTGGCGGGGGATATAGAAATGGGCTCCGTCCGTCCGTCCGTCCGTCTGTCCGTCACGTTTCGTTTCATTTCCGGAGCATAACTCAGAAACCGTTCAATATTTTTTCATCAAACTTTGCAGGTCTGTCAGGTACATGCTGAACTGGTGCCTTTTGCTATTTAGAAATTTTAGAAATTTTTGATTTTTACGTTTCCATGGCAACAAGATGGACTTAGGTTCTGTGAGGGAAGGGTTCGTTTCCGGAGCATAACTCATAAACTGTTCAATATTTTTTCATGAAACTTCGCAGGTTTGTCAGGTACATGCCGAACTGGTGCCTTTTGCTATTTAGAAATTTTAGAAATTTTAATTTTTTTACGTTTCCATTGCAGCAAGATGGACTTAGGTTCCAAACTCTTCTTTTTTTTACAATTTCCATAACAAGTTCCACCTCTGTTAAAAAAGGTTAGGGTTTGTCTAGATTTAATTATGTCATAAATTCTGCAACAGGGGCGGGGGATATAGCCACGTTAGTGGCAAACTCTTGTTGGTATTCAAAGGCACTGCCACCAGAAGCAAAATGAGAGGCGAAGCATGCCTTTTTTTTATAAGGCCGTACCACAGTTAGATACATTTTGCATGAACTCAGGATATACCCGGTAAGTGCTCTCCACATGTTGGTTGCTTGGTTTGTTGTTTAACACCGCTCTCAGCAATATTCCAGCAATATGACGGCAGTCTGTAAATAATTTAGTCTGGACCAGGCAATCAAGTGATTAATATCATGAGCATCGATCCATGCAATTGGGATCGATGACATGAATCAACCAAGTCAGCGAGCCTGACCACCCGATCCCGTTAGTCGCCTTTTACGACAAGCATTGTCGCCTTTTACGGCAAGCATGGGTTGCTGAAGACCTATTCTACCCCGGAATCTTCATGGGTCTGTTCTCCACATAATCAAATTGTGACTTCTTGCTTGACAAGATGTGCTTAGACAACATTCACTCGTTCACTCATTGTCAAACACCAGGCAGCAATATTCCAGTTAAAGTTGGGAAAGGGTAGCCTAGTGTATAAAGTGTTTGCTAGCCATGCTGCAGACCTGGGTTTTGTTTCCCTATGTAGGGAATGTAGGGCTTGGACGAGTCCAAATTTACTACCTGGGTACCAACCCCCCTATTACCTAACCCTACCTAGGTACCCGCTGTAGTTTTATCCTTATTCAAACATATGAAAGTCAGAAGGAATGGTGTATATTCAGAAATAACTGCAAACATTAGTGACTTGTAGTTTAAACAGAGTTCTAAATAATTTTTGTCATTGAACAATATCTCATGTGATTAACCACTGGTCCGGGTTGTCCTGTGGGTACCCGGGTCCTACTCAGTACCTGGCTGACCCGAGTACCTGAGATAGCCGTCCCAGCCCCCACTACAATGTGTGATGACGATTTTCTGTGTCCCTCGCTGTGATATTACTGGAATATTGCTAAAAGCTACGTAAAATCATAATGGCCTCACTCACTCACTCACTCACTCCAGACAGTCTAGTGATTAATATCCACGCAATTGGAATCGATGACATGCATCAACCAAGTCAGCGAGCCTGACCACCTGATCCCGTTACTTGCCTTTTACGACAAGCATAGTCACCTTTTACGGCAAGCATGGGTTGCTGAAGATCTATTCTACCCCGGAATCTTCAAGGGTCCACTGGCTCAGAATCATGTAGGGGTTTCTCTGATAAACATATACTGGTATGATAATTGTCATTTTATTGTGATGATGTGTGACATAACTGCTTTGACTGTGACAATAGCTTCCTTGAATTTAGGAACGTCCTGAGTGAGGACCATCCTGCCAACCAGTTGTTGTTGTATGACGATGTCCCCCTGTACTGGGACGCCTGGGACGTCATGGACTACCACCTAGAAACAAGGTAAGCCAGTTGTTGTATGACGATGTCTCCTTGTACTGGGGCGTGATGGAGTACCACCTAGAAACAAGGTAAGCCAGTTGTTGTATGACGATGTCTCCTTGTACTGGGGAGTGATGGAGTACCACCTAGAAACAAGGTAACCCAGTTGTTGTATGACGATGTCTCCTTGTACTGGGACGTCATGGACTACCACCTAGAAACAAGGTAAGCCAGTTGTTGTATGACGATGTCCCCCTGTACTGGGACGCCTGGGACGTCATGGACTACCACCTAGAAAGAAGGTAAGCCAGTCGTTGTATGACGATGTCTCCTGGTACTGGGGCATGATGGAGTACCACCTAGAAACAAGGTAAGTAAATTGTTATATGATGATGTCCCCTTGTACTGGGACGTCATGGACTACCACCTAGAAACAAGGTAAGCCAGTTGTTGTATGACGATGTCTCCTTGTACTGGGGAGTGATGGAGTACCACCTAGAAACAAGGTAAGCCAGTTGTTGTATGACGATGTCTCCCTGTACTGGGACGCCTGGGACGTCATGGGAGTACCACCTAGAAACAAGGTAAGCCAGTTGTTGTATGACGATGTCCCCTTGTACTGGGACGTCATGGACTACCACCTAGAAACAAGGTAAGCCAGTTGTTGTATGACGATGTCCCCTTGTACTGGGGCGTGATGGAGTACCACCTAGAAACAAGGTAAGCCAGTTGTTGTATGACGATGTCCCCCTGTACTGGGACGCCTGGGACGTCATGGACTACCACCTAGAAACAAGGTAAGCCAGTTGTTGTATGACGATGTCCCCTTGTACTGGGGCGTGATGGAGTACCACCTAGAAACAAGGTAAGCCAGTTGTTGTATGACGATGTCTCCTTGTACTGGGGCGTGATGGTGTACCACCTAGAAACAAGGTAAGCCAGTTGTTGTATGACAATGTCTCCTTGTACTGGGGCGTGATGGACTACCACCTAGAAACAAGGTAAGCCAGTTGTTGTATGACGATGTCCCCTTGTACTGGTACGTCATCGACTACCACCTAGAAACAAGGTAAGCCAGTTGTTGTATGACGATGTCCCCTTGTACTGGGGCGTGCCTAGAAACAAGGTAAGCCAGTTGTTGTATGACGATGTCCCCTTGTACTGGGGCGTGATGGAGTACCACCTAGAAACAAGGTAAGCCAGTTGTTGTATGACGATGTCCCCTTGTACTGGGACGTCATGGACTACCACCTAGAAACAAGGTAAGCCAGTTGTTGTATGACGATGTCCCCTTGTACTGGGACGTCATGGACTACCACCTAGAAACAAGGTAAGCCAGTTGTTGTATGACGATGTCCCCTTGTACTGGGACGTCATGGACTACCACCTAGAAACAAGGTAAGCCAGTTGTTGTATGACGATGTCTCCTTGTACTGGGGCGTGATGGAGTACCACCTAGAAACAAGGTAAGCCAGTTGTTGTATGACGATGTCCCCTTGTACTGGGACGTGATGGGAGTACCACCTAGAAACAAGGTAAGCCAGTTGTTGTATGACGATGTCTCCTTGTACTGGGGCGTGATGGACTACCACCTAGAAACAAGGTAAGCCAGTTGTTGTATGACGATGTCCCCTTGTACTGGGACGTGATGGACTACCACCTAGAAACAAGGTAAGCCAGTTGTTGTATGACGATGTCTCCTTGTACTGGGGCGTGATGGACTACCACCTAGAAACAAGGTAAGCCAGTTGTTGTATGACGATGTCCCCTTGTACTGGGAAGTCCTGGACTACCACCTAGAAACAAGGTAAGCCAGTTGTTGTATGACGATGTCCCCTTGTACTGGGACGTCATGGACTACCACCTAGAAACAAGGTAAGCCAGTTGTTGTATGACGATGTCTCCTTGTACTGGGGCGTGATGGACTACCACCTAGAAACAAGGTAAGCCAGTTGTTGTATGACGATGTCCCCTTGTACTGGGACGTGATGGAGTACCACCTAGAAACAAGGTAAGCCAGTTGTTGTATGACGATGTCCCCTTGTACTGGGGCGTGATGGAGTTCCACCTAGAAACAAGGTAAGCCAGTTGTTGTATGACGATGTCCCCTTGTACTGGGGCGTGATGGAGTACCACCTAGAAACAAGGTAAGCCAGTTGTTGTATGACGATGTCCCCTTGTACTGGGGCATGATGGACTACCACCTAGAAACAAGGTAAGTCAATTGTTGTATGACGATGTCCCCTTGTACTGGGACGTCATGGAGTACCACCTAGAAACAAGGTAAGTCAATTGTTGTATGACGATGTCCCCTTGTACTGGGGCGTGATGGAGTACCACCTAGAAACAAGGTAAGTCAATTGTTGTATGACGATGTCCCCTTGTACTGGGGCGTGATGGAGTACCACCTAGAAACAAGGTAAGTCAATTGTTGTATGACGATGTCCCCTTGTACTGGGGCGTGATGGACTACTACCTAGAAACAAGGTAAGCCAGTTGCTGTATGACAATTTCTCCTTGTACTGGGACGTCATGGACTACCACCTAGAAACAAGGTAAGCCAGTTGTTGTATGACGATGTCCCCTTGTACTGGTGTGAGATGGACTACCACCTAGAAAGAAGGTAAGCCAGTTGCTGTATGACAATTTCTCCTTGTACTGGGGCGTGATGGACTACCACCTAGAAAGAAGGTAAGTCAATTGTTGTATGACGATTTCTCCTTGTACACTTACAGAGTTACTCTTGACAGTCCCTTCTTAATGAGACATACTAGACTGCATTGACAAACTGATGCCATGTAATTTAGAAACTAACAAATGAATATTTCTATTATTTAGAAAACCCATCACAAGTGTCACCCAAGAAGCTAAGCTTGTTGATCAAGGACCTCTGAGGGCAACCATTGAGGTAATGTCAGGCTTTCTTTGGTTTCTGACCAGAACTACAATATTTTCTCATGGATTATATATACACTTTAGTAATTTGTTCAACACACAGTTTTGAGGGTAAACAGTTTGAGGGGGGAAATATACTACTCAAAAGAAGTTAAAGAACACTCACAGTTGGAAGTCTTTGTGTTGCAATACCTTCCAGCAATAAGAGATCAAACAAACTCAACATGCTCAAAGGGACCAATAACTTCTGTTCGTAGTTCGTATCGAGAACTAAGATCTGATTTTAATGAGATTACAGATTGTCTCAAAATGCAATTTGACTTTGTAAACATCTTCTCCTATGAATATACCAATTGAAAAGCATGGTGACAGTGTTGTTGAAGCTTTATTGTTATTTTGTTCTGTTAAAGATATTAAAATATTCAATTTTCACATTATAGTTCAAACAGTGTGTTTTGCTGTAAGCTGAAATCTAAGGGATGACAATGGCCATAAAAATGTTACAAACAAAAGAGTTAAACAGTGTTAACTATAACAATCATTGTGACAGAGTAGGAAATGTTATAATTTGACCCTTGTTCAATACTTTCATCCTTACACAGGAACTATTGAAATATCAATGACGCAGCAAATGTGTCTATATTTGATGATCATTGTTGACAACATATACTCAGGTGAGCTACAGTACCAGAACATCCTAGCTTCACATTCTGACCTTTTATTTAAGGAATAAACGACAAGTTTGAGTTGTTTATCATACAATAAAACACTGCACAGAGAATAAACTATGAGGGGCGCAGCCATGATTGGTTTATTCTTTCTCCTAATATCGATTGTCACATCTCTCCCAGTTTGGGGTGTGATCATTTGACCTCTGCGTTTATCTGTGGACCCGAGCTACATCTGTAGGAACAACTCACTAGACACTTCCATCTTAAAAGTAATGTTGTCCAATTTACGACGTCATCAATTTGCGAGTGCATGTTCGAATCTCCAGAAATGACGTCATGATAGAACAATGTTTTATGGTGAAATAAACCATGAAGTGTCCATTGCCAATTACCAATCAGTGATAATTTAGTCCTGGCTTCCAGTTGTCATAACTATCAGCGCCAATTATCTGTTGGCTTCCCTTGTTAAGTTTCCAACTTTTGTTATCTTATTACTTTTGTTGTTCTTACGTGTAAATATATGTTCTCTGCCTCAATGCTTTCATTCACCTGATGAAGGAGTAAGCATATACTCTGAAATGTTGTGTTCCTCATGATAAAGAAGTTGACATCCTTAAATTCTCTTCCTTATGTATATCACTTCTTAATGCCTTTCAAAGACTTATCTTATATAACTTCTTTCAGTGGCATTTAGAAGTTGGTGTGATGAAGAAAGACAAGTTCTATGGATGAACAACTTCTTTATTACAATTAGTGCGACGTTTCGGTGTAGATCCTAACACCTTTATCAAGCAAGTGATGGATAGTACTGGACAACAGAGATCTTATTTAGACTGATGAATATATACTCCACAAGTTGTCTTGTAAGTGGTAAAGATTCAGTGTTTCTCGGTGTAGGTTTCTTTCAGTGTGGCACATCTTCCTTATGTATATCACTTCTTAATGCCTTTCAAAGACTTATCTTATATAGACTGATGACTATATACTCCACAAGTTGTCTTGTAAGTGGTAAAGATTCAGTGTTTCTCGGTGTAGGTTTCCTTCAATGTGGGCACATCTTCCTTATGTATATCACTTCTTAATGCCTTTCAAAGACTTATCTTATATAGACTGATGACTATATACTCCACAAGTTGTCTTGTAAGTGGTAAAGATTCAGTGTTTCTCGGTGTAGGTTTCCTTCAATGTGGGCACATCTTCCTTATGTATATCACTTCTTAATGCCTTTCAAAGACTTATCTTATATAGACTGATGACTATATACTCCACAAGTTGTCTTGTAAGTGGTAAAGATTCAGTGTTTCTCGGTGTAGGTTTCCTTCAATGTGGGCACATCTTCCTTATGTATATCACTTCTTAATGCCTTTCAAAGACTTATCTTATATAGACTGATGACTATATACCCCACAAGTTGTCTTGTAAGTGGTAAAGATTCAGTGTTTCTCGGTGTAGGTTTCCTTCAGTGTGGGCACATCTTCCTTATGTATATCACTTCTTAATGCCTTTCAAAGACTTATCTTATATAGACTGATGACTATATACCCCACAAGTTGTCTTGTAAGTGGTAAAGATTCAGTGTTTCTCGGTGTAGGTTTCCTTCAGCGTGGGCACATCCAGTTCACTGAAGCAGAGGATCATCCTGGATGCTGGATGCCCCTATGTCAGGTTTGATACGGAGGTAAGAAAGCTATGAAACAATCTTGGTTCTCTGGTACCACCAGGTCTGCTGAACCATTTGTAGTTCAGGACATAGACAGAAAACTCATCATTCAGGTTCCAGGGCCCATTAGTTGAAGGCTGCAATTGACCATGCAAGTGATGTAGCCCTTGTTCAGTATTTCTTATCTGAACAAATGGACTATCAGCTTTGCTTATTTAACTGAAATACGTTTTGCCAGCCTCTAGACAAGCTGCAAATGGTCATAGACTCTTAGGCCTAGACCCTACCTTTACCCCAGGCTCATTGACACAAGTTCCTGAAGATGGCGACATCATTGCACTGCTATCTATATACATGTTATAATGATCCCCTACCCCTATCCAAGGTGAGCTGGCACGAGAGCCACAAGTTCCTGAAGGTCGAGTTCCCCACTAGCATGACGTCATCCCAGGCCACGTACGAGATCCAGTTTGGCCATCTACAGAGACCCACACACTACAACACCTCCTGGGACTCTGCCAGGTTCGAGGTGAGCGGAGATGCTTGGTTCATTGTTATTGTTGGTTGGTGTTCTTGGTTACAAGTTCTGATGGGTTATTGTTTATTTTAAACAGAAAATATACTCCATGGCTACCAGGCCATTTCCAGCATAAGTTAGACATTGTGTAGAGTGCCATGTGTGAACTTGTGATTGTAGCGAAAGCGTGAACAACTAACTTGCCTTGTTCATTTATTGTTTAACACTTCACTCAGCAATATTCCAGCTATATAAAGGCTGTCTGTAAATTACTGAGTCTTGACCACAATTTTTTTTTCCATTAATATTAACAAACAGGGATACGATACAAGTCAGCAAGCATGACCTCCTCATCTCATTAGGTGCCTCATATAAATTAGATTAAATTTTTAAATTGAATAAGTATAACAAAAATAACCAGAAAAACAGGAACTTGTAATGAGGTGAGGTGAAATGGGGTTTAACGTTGTGTCCAAGATTATTGCACTTATATAGCAACATGCGTGCATGCGTGCGTGCATATTTAAATAATCTGAGGTTTAGTAAGTTGTTATTAAATGTCCCTTATTCCATTCACATAGAGGACCCCCTCCTTGTCTAGTGGTAGAGCGTTAGCCCGTAGAGCGGAAGGTCCAGGGTTCAATCCCCGACCGCGTCATACTAAAAGACATTAACAAATGGTACTTGTTACCCTGTCTCGCACTCTGCATTAAGGGGCTAAAACAAGGATTGGTCGGCTCGGAGTCAGTATGCTGTGTCTGAGTGGGGTATACAAGTTATACTGTGGCATGGTATCTCAGCGAGCTAGCACTATAAATCGGCATCAGTCCGGACTAATACAAGCAGCCCCCCCCCCCCCCCCTATGCATGTCCCTATATAAGTGCAATAATCTTGGATGTGATGTTAAACCCCATTTCCAAACCCCACTTGTCTCAACCATTAATTTCATCAAAAACACAGTTAAATGGTACAATTAAATGAAATAATAGTGTTTTAATGGGAAAATTATGCATTTTGATGCATCTGACTGGCACTAGCGTTACAGCAGTGATATACCAATGAACCGATGACACTTATACTTCTAGGTCTGCAGCCACAAGTGGGCCGACATCTCCGAGTATGGCTACGGTGTGGCGGTCATCAACGACTGCAAATATGGATTTTCCACAGTGGATAACATCATGAGACTTTCATTGTGAGGATGAAAATATTTTTGGAATTTTATTATATAATAGTTTTCACAACAAATTTTAATTTAGATTTGGGAGAGACATGCGGTAATGTAGGTGTTCATATCTGTATTGATGCCATGGCAACAAGATGGCTTCTTGCAGAAAATTATGACACGTGAGTCAATTGGTAGATTTTGTAGGTCCATTCTTTTCAGTGTGAGTAAAGGCAGAGCCCATGTCTGCCAAGGATTCTGAGTTGCTTTGTCCTAATATGGTAGGACCCGTGAAGATCCGAGGTAGAATAGGTCTTCAGCAATCCATGCTTGCCGTAAAAGGCAATTATGCATGTCGTAAAAGGCGACTAACGGGATCGGGTGGTCAGGCTCGCTGACTTGGTTGATACATGTCATAGATCCCAATTGCATGGATCGATGCTCATGTCAGTCACTGGATTGTCTGGTCCAGACTTGATTATTTACAGACTGCCGTCATATTCCTGGAATATTGCTGAGTGCGGCGTAAAACAACAAACCAACCAACCAACCTAATATGGAGTTCTGAAGCTCTTTTTCTTACAACTGGCAAATGAATATGACAAATATTTTAATTTTTCAAACGTTATTACAGCTTCCAAACTTCACTGGGAAATGTTCCTGTGGGTGTTGGCAATTAGTAAACATCTATAAGACCTGCATCAAGCTGACATACTGAAATACCGTTCACTGATCACATACCATTATCTCTCCAGGCTGCGATCCACCAAGGCGCCTGATGCCAATGCTGACATGGGCGACCACACCTTCACCTATGCCCTCATGCCACACACAGGTGTGTCGACATTCTGGTTTTAGTCATTGGTCCCCCGACAGTTTCACCTTTGTTTTGTACTCAAACATATACTCAACCGAAAAAGAAACGCAAGTTGTACATAAAATGCGGATAAGGTTACGACCATTAACAATATGTGGATAATATTAAGAAACGATAGCAGAGAAAACTTTTGATAGCAATTAGCCTCGATTGTTTGATGACAACCATCCGTGTTTATTGACAAATTCCCTCGAAAACCGGTTCCCCCAAACAGAAAAATGACAAATGTCAGTCATGTCCTTCAATAGCGTGTGTGGCCTCTGTTAGCTGTGATACAGGTCGCGCATCGTCATCTCATTGAATTGACAAATCTTTTGAAGAAGGCTTGAGGAATCCTGTTCCATTCCCGCACCAAAAAGGCTTCCAGTTCCTGTAGTATATGTGGCTGCCTCACAGCCTGAAGATGTCTCCCAATCTTGTCCCAGACATGCTCAATTGGCGCCATGTCTGGTGACCAAGACGGCCAGGGCATTACAGGAATGTTATTCATCGTGAGAAGGTCCATAGAGACCAATGCTGTATGGGGACGAGCTTGTCCTGCTGAAAGACCTGGAGTTGAGGTAGACCCAGCAAGAGAGGTCTGATGTGATTACGAAGAACATCATCCCTGTGCACGACAGCAGTCACATGATCGTGGGACATGTGTAGAGTGAGTGAGTGATTGACTTTGATTTTACGCCGCCTTTAGCAATATCACGGCGGGGGACACCAGAAATGGGCTTCACACATTGTACTCATGTCGGGAATTGAACCCGGGTCTTCGGCGTGACGAGCCAACGCTAGGCTACCCAACCGCCCGAACATGTGTAGAGGGGTCCGGTAGTGGTAACTGAACCCTCCCTACACCATGATGCTTCCTCCTCCCCACAAGTCGGCCTGTAGGACACCGCAGCTACCGTAACGCTCATTGCGTCATCTCAACACTCTGATGCAGCCGTTGGTGTGAGAAAGGTTGAACCTTGATTCATGAGTGAACCACTTGAGACTTTAGATAGATATATGTTTTTTTGGAGTACCATTCAATAAATCTCCATCTTAATTAAGTCCTCCATCATATTTAAAGCATGGTCATATCTATGTTTACAACAAATGCAACATTTTTTTGATGCATCAAACAAAAGGATTTGATATCTAACTATAAAGTATCAATACAATCCAGTGGACATCCTTAAGGCCATACATGTTTTATTTTCGCGCACCCTTGCTGAAAAGCATCTGGAAACGAGATAAATATTTATTTTTGTTGTGTCTCCCACTAGTGAATACAGACCCTCTTATAGAAATAAAAATTGTCATATATAAATTCCATGTCTACATCACTATCGGTGATTCAAGAAGCCAGCTCAAGTTTTAACTGAATGACTTTCATAGTAATCAGGGGCGGTCAGGCAGCCTAGTGGTTAAAGGGTTCGCTTGTCACGCCGAAGACCCGGGGTCGATTCCCGACATGGGTACAATGTGTGAAGCCCATTTCAGGTGTCCCCCGCCGTGATATTGCTGGAATATTGCTAAAAGCAGCGTAAAACCACACTCACTCACTCACTCATAGTAATCATGGTAATAAGAAAATAATTGACATAGCTATTCACAGTCAAGTCTCGTTAATCCGACACTCGTTTATCCGACAATCGGCTTTATCCGACACAAATGATGGGAACCGATTCAATCAGTGCTATTTAGACCCGTCAATCCGACAGTCTCGCACTCTGACTCCGACACACATAATTTGCAACGAATTGCTGAAATCACCCATTAATCAGTCTCGTTAATCCGTTATTTTTATTTCGACCGACCTTGTGTCCAAAAGCTGGAATGAATCTGTGAAACACAAAATTAAAAAGGTGTGGCCTAAGCTGAAGTACTGTGTGATGGAGGTGGTTTGATGATGAGGTGCTGACACCAGGTGTGTGTGGTTGTTGATGCAGGCAGCTTCCAGACAGCGGGTGTCATCCGGGAGGCCTACAACCTGAACAGCCCTCTACAGGTGTACAACGCCCCGGTCACCGCCCTACCACCAGGGGGCGCCTCCTACTTCACCCTCAACACACCACAAGTGATACTGGAGGCGGTCAAGCTGGTCAGTAACTCAGTTTGTCCCTGTCATTAGTCCTACTATTGCGCTGATGCCCAGCTGACCTTTTATTGTGTTGTTCAGAGTTGTGTCCCTTGGTTGTCCCAGTATTCACTCAACGTTGGTTTGAATCCTTGATTGTCACCCTGCCTAGGACTATGCTTGTCGTAAGAGGCGACTAACGGGATCGGGAGGTCGGACTCGCTGACTTTGTTGATGCATGTCATCGATCCAAATTGCATGGCTTGATGCTCATGATATCAATCACTGGATTGTCTGGTCCAGGCTCGATTATTTACAGACCGCCGTCATATAGCTGAAATATTGCTGAGTGCGGCGTTAAACAACAAACAAACCAAACCAAACAAACTTGGCGTTACAAGGATAAAATAAAGACTGGTCGGCTAAGTGGGGTATTCATGTTAAACTGCGGCATGGTTTGTTTGTTTATTGTTTAATGCCGTACTCAGCAATATTCCAGCTATATGACGGTGGTCTGTAAATAATTGAGTCTGGATAAAAAGTTCCTGTGATTTACATCATGAACATAGATGTACGTTACGCAATTGGGATACGATGACATCCATCAACCAAGTCAGAAAATCTGACCATCCGATCCTGTTAGTCGCCTCTCACGACAAGCATAGTCACCTCTTGCGGCAAGCATAGGCTGCTGAGATGAATTCTACCCCGGATCTTCACAGGTCCTGTGGCACGGTATGTCAGTGGGACAGTACTATAGAACCGACATCAGTCAAGACTATCACACACACATCTCTCACAACATTTGGTGAACAAGTTAGACTTGCATGACTAGCTTTCATAAGATTACACATTGTCAAATAACTGAAAAAAATCCTCATTTAGAATACATCCCAGTAATCTGATAGCAGAGGTGGCCCACTCGTTTGAGACATATGTTTCACCGTACATAGTTCTGTCCCTTTGTTATGCCAGGATATGCTTATTGTGTATTTTGAATCTGATATTAACCATTTTTTAAAGTTTTCAAACATGAAATGGAGTGTCCGGAATTAATTTAGTTACCACAAATAGTAAACAAACAAAACAAAACAAATCAAATAAAACAAAACAATTACTAACCTGTCTGACTTTGGTTCAAGTTGTCCCACAATTAGGACAAATATTGAAATTCGGAATCTACAGTTTGAATGGATTGTTTTGTTTCTTTCACCAGTCTGAAGACGATGATGGAGCTATGATTCTGAGGCTGTATGAAGCATTTGGTGGCAAGACCAGTGCTACCTTGTCCACATCTCTACCCATCAAGACCGTCAACAGGTAGGGGAAAATCTGTTACAGAGTAGTTGGTGAATAATTGGTGGCATGGAAGACCCAGTCGTCTAAGGCACCACAATTGTCTGTGCAGAGTTCCATCCCTTGTGCGCGCCAGAATCATAAGATCGTGGGTTCGAATACCAGTTTGTCAGCACCATACCTGTGTTCGTGGGTTTCACCGAAGTGGTAAACGTCTGAGACCTGCATCACTTCGGGCTTTCCTCCTACATTAAGCTGACACGCGTGATATAACTGTCATACTGTCAACAGCAGCGTTAAACCCAACTCACTCACTCTGGGAATAATTCAAGTTTTCTTTTGGAATGGTGATATAAGTGCTCAGTTTGCTTTTTGGAATGGTGATCTTAGTGCTAAATTCTTTTTGGACAGTAATACCACTATGCTTGGTTTTTTAAATGGTGATCTGAGAGCAAAACTTGCTCATGGCGTTCAACATTTTTTGTCATAGGGTCCTGGTGGATCCTAACAACGTTACTACACACTATATACGAGATAGGGAAAAGAGCTACTTTCAGGCCTCAACAAACCGTAAATTCCAAAAATACAATCACCAACCTTTGACACTGAGGAACGTTTATGTCAACATTCTTATAAACCAGAATGACTGGACAGAAGGACTGGGCGCGAAAATGCAGAAGTAAAAACAGTGCGCCAAAACGCTACAAAACAAACATTCAATGGACATGAAAATGTTGTGTTTCACGTGCAAGAGGCACTTAACATGTTACGCGACTGTGGTTTTGAGTTCAATTGTGCAAAAGTTGTCAGGTGGGAACATGTGCTTATAGTTTAGTCCCAAGACAGGAATTTAGGATAGAAACGTTGTTATAAAACAACATAGTAACTGAGTTCACATATAAAAAGTGAACTTATCCACTATTAGTGTAGAAACATTGTTCATTATAGAAAATAGTGTAATTGATTCGATACATTAAAAGTATGAACTTGTTTCAATAGTTTATTGTTTTGAATTTAGGGGTTATCTTCACTCCAGTGACAGCTTACAAATTCAAGCATCCCATTCATGTCCTTTCAGATGCAATGGCCTGGAGGAAGTTGAAGAGGATGGGGATGAGTTTACTAAGGGAGATGTCTCAACAGTCACCGTCTCATTCACAGCCTTCCAGATTGTCAGTTTGATTGTGAAGTTTTAGTGGCTTCATAAAAATAACAGGAATGGACCTTCTGGTCTCAGGAAGTATTGTCGGCTCCACTCTGTGGCTCCACGTTGCCTGGCAACACGGGGAGTGATGCCACGGGAGTGAGGCCCATGTACAACCAGATGCTACTGTTAATCATGCATTCCGCAGAGGTTATTGATGTATAGCGTTTGTATGCTGTGGAGGAAATAGGAATGTTGCCTCATATTTAAACAGTGCATTAAGTTTTCATTATGTATTTTCATTGTAGTTTCTTGTCTCTTGTTTTATGGAGAGTTTATTATGAGTTCATTATGTCCCCCCCAACACATCCCTAAAAGTCATATCGTTTTTGGCTCGGTTCCTGATGGCGTTGGCGTCGGCGTTCCCATCCTATTCCAAGCCATAACTTGAAAACTGTTCAATGTGTTCCAAGGAAATTATTCATATGCATTGTCGTTAGCTGCCTTTTGCCATTGTGATTTTTTTCTAAATTTTATTTTTTACGTTTTCAGGAGCACAATTTCGACTCAAACTAGTGTTTCGGGATCATAACTTGAAAACCTTTCAACATGTTTCAATAAAACTTGGTATATGTATTGCTCATCAGCTTAACTCGTGCCTTTTGATATTTTGAAATTTTCTAAATTTTATTTTGTTACCTTTTCATGGAAACAATTTGGACAAGTCTCAAACAACTCCAGGTTTTTCTGATTTCTGGTGTGATTGGATTAAGAAGACAAGTACTAGATACTACCCTATCACTATATGTGATAACTATGCATTTTTGGAATTGTGTCCATTCTCAAATACTTGTCAATAGATATTGCTGCCAGACTTTTCATTATGTTGGCATAAATGCTTTAATCGGAATCTGTACCAGTATTTTTTGCTATTTTTGTTTTTCTGGTTTGCAAACACATTTGTCAGAACAACTTGAACTAATGTATCCAAAAAAGGATGCTGTAGACGTATGTTTTTATGAGTAAAAACACATTCTAGTTATAAGTAAAAAAAATAAAAAATGATATTTTAAAATGTTTTTGAGGTTTTTGTTAAAATATCTTTAAGTTTGTTTTTTGTTGAAGAATTTTCCTGAGCATTTTTTTATTAATCTCTGTTCAACCCTGCCAACCCCTCAAAAACTGTAAAATACAAAAAATTGTAATTGTCTTGTGACATTTGAGAACTGACAGAGTAGATTGCAAAAACAGACCATATAGTGCTTTTTATTTTGAAGTTAATTTAGCTAGATACCTTTATAATGCTTATGTTGAAAGAAACATTTTCCAATATTTAACAGCCTGACTGTATTATTATATTCTGCTGACAAAGGCCTGTGGTCTATACACATTGAATACAAAAACAAACTGAAATGGAAAATTATTTTGAAGTTCTTCTCATATACTTATCTTTTTGAGTATTTGCTTTTGACAGTACAATGTTGTTTATATTTTATATCAGTGAGTAAGTGAGTGAGTTGGGGTTAACGCCGCTTTTAACAGTATTCCAGTTATATCGCGGTGTGTCAGCTTAATGTGGGAGGAAAGCCCGAAGTGATGCAGGTCTCAGACATTTACCACTTCGGTGAAACCCACGAGCACTGGTATAGTGCTGACAAACCTAGAAACATAATCGGGGCGAATCGGGATTCGAACCCACAATCATAGGTTTCTGGCGCGTGCAAGGGACGCAACTCTGCACAGCAAATCACTTAGATCACTGGGCCACCCGTGCCCCCATATTTTATATCAAGAAACATAATCACCTGAAGCCTTTATTGGGAGAAAGATCTACACTTGTATTCTCAATATAATCTATGTTATATACTACATGTACATGCATTATATAATAAAATCACTTAGCTGGCTTGAACTTGTGTTATTCAATTATTTTTCTAAATTGTTTGTTTGAACAAGGATGCTTCCTGTTCTGCATTAGGCTAAAAAAAATAGTCTAGGTTCTCAGGCACCGCCCGCATCATCATAAAGTTTGCCGCACATTTCGTTTTTATTTCCATTTTTAATTTTTTTAATTAAAAATCCTCAAATACTTCAAGTCCAATGGTGGTCAAATACTGTATTCAAGTATTTTACTATCAAGGAATACATTTATGTAGGGAGGCCCTTTCCCGTGTTGATTGTACACAATTGTTTATTGATTATACGACTGTTTATTGGTTTATACATACTAGTGTGGGCAACCAAAAAATAAAAGAAAAAAGACACCACCCACCCGCACTATATTTTCAAAAAACATTGCCTGAGAACCAATTCTTTTATTTTTTTAAGCCTTAGTCAGCAGTAAAAACCATTGTCTTGAGTGTAAAAGTACTGAGAACAATTAATGTTACATGAATTTTACCAAGACGCGGGTAGAATAAGAGTTATCGTTCTTGTTTGAAGTAGTTCTCGTGTTCATACGCCAATATGGAAGCCTTCCAATGATGGCAGCGTCTGTAAATGCAGAAATGGTGTTTTTCATCTGTTTCTAGAGTTTTGTTTAAAGTTCATTTTCTATATTTTGGTAAAGGTTTAAGTTTCATTTATTTTTAAAAAACAAAGTTTTTCTTAGTTAAATATTTGGTCCACTTAAAGTCATGGTCATTTGAACCTTCTCACTTTGGCTTAGTGGAGAAAGTGTTTTGTCCTAATATGTCACATGACCTTTGAAACCTAGAAATTGTAAGTTCAAATCCCCATTTCTCAATAAACTTTTGCAGATAAATTAATAACTTGTTTACAGCCTCAATTTCATTTCAAGTCACATGATCTAAAAAGCACACGTTCCCCACACAATCGGTCAAATCTCCATCTTGTTGGGACCACAATTATATTCTCCAAAGTATGAAGCAACACAAATGTAAGTAAACTCATATTTGTCAAAGTTAATATTATTTTATCTCTCAAGTGTTCAATGCATTTATAACTTCAATTCAGTAATCATTTGACAGTTGTAAGCAATTTTGAGTATTTTGTCAGAAAGTTGTTTGTTATTCTTTTAGATTGGTAATTTTGACTATTTATTTGGTTCAGCCTATAGTAAGGATTGTATTTTCTTTCTATTTTAGTTTTCTGAACCTCACCCACCAATGTATTCAACGTAAACAAATGTAAACAAAGATGGTCGTCTAATAACGAGACTGAAATTGCCTCATTATAACGCCACAGAATGTAAACATGGTTTGAAGTTGTATCTTGAAGTCGTCTTTACCGTTCAACGTCAGCTCTTCAGTTCAACTCCTTCACCAAGGATTATGTCTGAATGGATATTGTTCAAAGTTTGTATTGAACATTGTGATTAACGCTCAACATCATGTAATAAAAATCCTTGTTGGTGCGAGTGTCAGAAGTCAAAATCAGAAATTAAAAGTTCTAACTTCTAATTCATGCATAGTAATGGAATCAATGGCAAAAAACAGGCTATAACACTACTTAGAACAAAACAACATAATAAATCCAGACCAAAGCGGTTTCACTCCTGGACGCTCAACCTTAGAACACCTCGCCCGACTAGAGCAGGACATTAAAACAGGCCAACTTAACAAACTATATACTACAGGCATCTTTCTAGACTTCTCCAAAGCATTCGACATGGTTTTGCATAACGGGCTAATAGAAAAACTACGAAAAATAGGTCTTAAAGGTCAAATAATTAACTACATCCAAAGTTTCCTAACAAACCGCAAAATCACCGTGGGCATAGACCGAACGCTATCGGACCAATGTCCCCTAGAAAATGGCACTCCCCAGGGCAGCATCCTCAGCCCCACACTCTTCAATATTATGATTAACGATCTATTCGAGGGACTATCCCCCAAAGTAAACACATAAAAATTCGCGGATGATGGAGCCCTCTGGATCCGCAGTAAAAGCATTAAAGTGGCCCAAAACTTACTACAAAAATCTCTAAATAAAATACAAAAATGGGCTGACAAATGGGGCTTCTCCCTAAACTCAGAAAAAACCCACAGGAATTGTATTTAAACACAAAAATATGCAACCCGCATATTGCGGGGGGTATAATGTACGTATGGTGCGTGTGTATGGTATAATGTACGTATGGTATGTGTGTGTGAGTGCGTGTGTTTGTGTACTTGTGCGTGTGCGTGTGTGCGTGGTATGGTATGGGGTGTGTGTGTGGGTACCTACGTGTTTGTGTATGATTGTGTGCGTGACTTTATAAGTTATTTGGCGTGTGTGTGTGCGTGTGCGTGCGAGCGTGCGTGTTCATAACCCAACCTTAATTTTAAACATTGTGTTAGTATATGTCTTTTTCTTACCTTGCCCAGATCATGACGTTATAATTTGCTTTTATGTCTAAGTGTCTCGTAGGCCATACCTGGTCGGATGTTATATTTTACTGTTCGTGTACATGTTTTAGTATGAAGTGTATATAACATGTGACACTATAATAAACAGTATTCTCTCTCTAGAGTCACCCCTCTCTCTAGAGTCGCCCCCTCTCTCTAGAGTCACCCCTCTCCCTAGAGTCACCCTCCTCTCTGGTCACCCCCCCCCCCCCCCCCCCCCCCCCTCTCTAGAGTCACCGCCCTCTCTAGAGTCACCGCCCTCTCTAGACTCACCGCCCTCTCTAGAGTCACCGCCCTTTCTAGACTCACCGCCCTCTCTAGACTCACCGCCCTCTCTAGACTCACCGCCCTCTCTAGACTCACTCTCTCTAGACTCACTCTCTCTAGACTCACTCACTCTCTCTCTCTCTCCAGTATCAGGCCCTAAAACTAATCACTCGAACTCAACATGGCACCTCCTCCACCTCACTCCAGGCCTTAACAGGAGAAATGCCACTTAAACTACGTAGGGAAAAACTTACCCTAAACTTCTGGGCCGCGTCCCAATCAAACCCTCTAATCGAAAACTTAATAAAAAACAACATTAGCCCTAGCCCGGAAAATCCACTGCTTACTCCAATTTCCCAAAGAATAACCAATTACCTAAATGAACACAAAATAAATAATCTTAAACAAAACAATAAATCACCCAATATCTTCAATCCAAAACTTAAAATACCAAAAATAGACACAACACTAGCCGATACACTAAATAAACAGACCGATCCTAACATAGCTAAAACCACCACACTAGCATACATAGACGAAAATTGGCCAAATTGGTGTCACATATACACAGACGGATCCTCAGATCCGATCTCAAAACACACAGGTTTCGGAGTCCACATCGCACAACCAACCAAAAACACCCAATCATACCGACTCCCAAACAACCAATCCATATTCACGGCCGAACTCATGGGAATGGCTTCAGCACTACACAATCAGCAATCTAAAAAACACCAAAAAATCCTCATCCTAACCGACTCCCTCAGTGGTCTAAAAGCCCTCAAAAACAAAAACACTAAAAATCGCCCCAAACTAATAAATCAAATATTCAAAAGCTCAAACAACTTAACTAATGCAGGTAAACAAATAGAGTTCATTTGGATCCCCGCCCACGTAGGAATCTTTGGAAATGAAAACGCAGATAAAGCATCAAAATTATCCCTTAAACTACCAGAAATAAGCTTAAACTTACCCAGCTCAAAATCAGAAATCAAAAGTGTCACTGAACAAAAAATCAACAAAAAATGGCAAAATATATACCAAAACTCAAACAGCCAAATCAGGAAAGTACTAAAAAAAACCTAACTAAACCAAAAATACTACACCCATCCAAACAAATCGACAGAATAATTACTAAACTACAAACAGGCCCCACCAAACTAAATAATCACCGTAAAAAAGCTAATCTACACACAACAGGAAACTGCACACATTGCAAACAACAAGAAACACCAGAACACGTACTCATTCACTGCATACACTACCAAACACACCGAACAACACTACAGACCACCCTAAATCTTAAAACCGCACTTACACTAGAGTCAATCCTAAATCCACAAAATAAATTAGAAAAACTCAAAGCCTTTGGCATATACCTAATTAAAACAGGACTAATTAGTCGCATTTAAACCCCAAATAAAATATTAAAAACAAAA